AGCAGTTTTGCGGACTCATTTCAGTCCGTAAAATGCTTCATTTTCGGTCTAGTCCGTGAATTTGTTCACTTTCGGCCTAGACCGTAAAATAGTCCATTTTCGGCCTAGTCTCTAAAAGTCGTCATAGCAACCTTGTCAATTTGAATGTACCTGTCGCACCTGCCAATGCATTATCAGTTGAAAATTTTTATGTTGTCACATTCACTTCACATTTTTGTCAACGGAATTCAGTCAATTTTTGGAGAGCTATTACAAAAAAAATATTGTTTGTATCGCATGTACCTAAATTAGGTTTTTCAGGACTCACTTGGTATTTTGGACTCGGCTACCGCCTCGTCCGGAAACAGCAAATATTAGTCCTAAAAAAACTTATTTTAGGTACAGTTCGTTTCACGAGGCCTTATACTTTTGACATCGAAGACGTCATAACTTTAAAAAAATGGGTTGTCGTATATTAATTCATATGACACATTCAATTTTTTTAACAAATTAAAATGAATTACTTCTGGGTTAAGAACCTAAGAACGTTTTTGACATCATTGATTTTTTTCAGTCAATTTCTATTTGTTAAAAAAGGAAGGCAAATTATGTCAAAAGTATAAACCCTCGTGAAACGAAGTATAGTTATATTTTTACAAAAATAGCTATCTTTGCTCGATTGACATGAAGACACTTGCTTTTGGTTTTAGCTAAAAAATGTTTTTTTTCTTTTCACTACTTCAAGTTTTTCCTACATTGTTCAAAAGAAGTAAAATTAGATTTAACGCACTATTGAGTAAAGTAATTCACTACACACACTAGTGAGCGAAGTAAACGAAAAAGTTTATTAAATGGTATTAGTTTCTTCGCAAAAATGCATAAATACCCATAAGTATAAAATTTTATATTATAAAGGCCTTTGCTGCCCTTTTTCTGCATAGTCAACTGAAAAAGCGGCAAAAATGTTCCAAATTTTTTTTTCATGAGACATGAGACATGAGACCTTTACAGATCGATAGAATAGGTCCATGGCCACCTGAAATGGCTCATTACAACATTTTCTCGTAGGTCCAACAATTTTTATATCGAAAAATGTCATACATTTCTCAAAATTCTGTTTTCATACTTTTTCACACATACCTCGCGATATCTCTGGAACTAATTGAGATAATTTCATTTATTTTTTTTTTATTCTAGAGAGAATATGTTAGCGCAAATCACCAAGATAATTTTGTTTTTCTGAAAAACTCGCTTTTTGCGTAAAACTAGGTAAATCTTCAACTTACACTTTTTATGCAGTACGTTTTTCAGTAAGCGAGAAACTTTTTTGTTTTCAGGATTTCTGCCATACTATCAGCGGATGAAACAAAGCTAAGACATCAAGGAAGTTTTTGAAAAAAACCGCGATACTCTTGCGATGCATAATTTTCAAGATATCGTGACTTGAAGTTGAGAGTTTTACCGGCCGTGCACTACTCCGGGTAGTTTTGCAACACTACGCAGCGCAGCGCGGCGCGATTTTCTCGATCTGCCTATTTTTTGAGTGTTGGTGCATTTTCATGATACATTTCAGCAAATGCACCTTGCAAATCAATTTTCACATGCATTATTAATTTTCTGAGGGAGGGCGGTTCAATGAGATAAACAAAAAAAATTGAGTAAATTTACCACCACTCTAACGACTTGTTTGGAAGTAGATTAAGGAACATATTTGCTACTAAAATAATAAGAGAAGGAAAAAAATACAACTTAAACAGGATTACCGTAGCATTTGATACATATATTTACGCAGTTCGTTAAAGAATATGAAAAGGCAACGACGTGGTAATTATTGAATTTGAAGTGTCTGGCGGCACATAAAAAAACATGTTTCGAGAATTTATTCGATCTTCTACCAATAAACAATCCCTGTTAGCGTTTATAACATTGTTTTTTTTTTAGAATTACTAAACCTGCGATTTACAACTTTGCAGATGACAACACCCTTATCTCGTCTTTCATATCGTGGACTGTGATGGAAACAACATCGTCCAGTTTAATGCAAGAAAGACGCAAGCAACTTTAAACTTGCTGGACATCAACGTGGAAAGCAACCACGTCACCAAAATCGCCAATTCAGCAACACAAAACTTAAAAGCTGCGCACTTAATAGAACGAAGAAATTGTATACCTCATTTCAGCTTTTGCTGCTCTATAAGGCCCAGATAAGTCAGATAAGACCAGTCTTTCCTTTTGTGTGTTCCGACCATAAAAAAAAAACTAATAAATGATTCAACGGTCATAATAGCAGGTGGATTCCAGCATTCTGAACTTTGTTCCAAATTAATTAAAATTGAAGGATCGAAAAATTTGGAAAAATTAAATAGTACCTACTCAAGAAGAAGCTGATACCAAATTAATACCTTACATAACTAAAATTAGTTAACACAATTCTGGTAAAATCTCATGATACCGATGGCCTGTCCTAATGTTGCTTAATCATGTTCACTGCACAATACCAGCAATTCTCCAAAGTCTATTTATACAGTTAGGACATGGTAAAACTCCATATTTATTTATCTAAACTCCTGGACACTCGAACTTACACATACAGATTTTTATTCAAAATTCAAAGTTTCATATTTTCGACAAAAATAAAGTTTTTTTAATGTGGTTTATGCAGTTTAATAGCCTGGTTCTTCCGGATAAAGCTACTTGTTGTGAATTTTTTGTAGGACCCCAGGGTTGTGATATACGGGGCGATAAAGTAGGTGATGTAAAAAAACAAAATGTTTGTGTTTGTGCCATTTCGGAAAAAAAAAAAATTGTAGTCATTACAATATGGTTTGTTACCAAGGTAACATCAATACCTCTAGACGTTTTTGTTACTTTTTGGATTCAAGTCCTTTGGCCTTGGATATACCATTAAACGTCAAAATATAGCAACAAAATCTTCAAAATAGCGTGATAGACCTTAAGCTCACTGCCAAACAGTACAACGATAGTATAACATGCCCTCTGAGTTTCTGGTAACTATGCATATGCTCGTCAACCTACAAGAATTTAGCGGGTGACTGCAGGACTTGCGCTGAAAAGTTAATGCACCATGCACCAATCGATATTTATGAATAAAAATCCATCCGAAAACGATCGGCACACCACAAACACAAATGTTGGTGACTACGAATATCCAAACTGCAGTAGTAACAGTTCGCGTATTTGCACTCCCACACCCGAGGTGATTTCGGATGATGATTTAAGGATTTTAAAATTAATGTCAACACGTGTCAAATTTCCAAGACCAAGTGAAAGAAAATAATAAGTGAACAGCAAATATTTATGCTAGAATTATTTAAAACCAAAGTAATGGATTTGATTAATTGGAATTTGCTCAAATATATCATGAAAATGCACCCAGGCTCAAAAAACAAGCAGCCAAATGTAGCGAAGATACCCGGGGTAGTGCACGGCCGGTAAAACTCTCAACTTCAAGTGACAATATCTTGAAAACTATGCATCGCAGAGTATTGCGGTTTTTTTCAAAAACTTCCTTGATGTCTTAGCTTTGTTTCATTCGCTGATAGTATGTCAGAAATCCTTAAAACAAAAAAGTTTCTCGCTTAGTGTAAGTTGAAGTTTTACCTAGTTTTACGGAAAAAGCGAGTTTTTCAGAAAAAGAGAATTATCTCAGTGATTTTCGTTGACATATTATCATCAAAATAAAAAAATAATAATGAAATTATCTCAAGTTACTTTAGACACTAGGGCGTAAAGTTGTGGTATATTTTTTCAAAAATTTATGACATTCGGGCGTTATGATCTATAACGCACGCTTATAATATTGTCGGTAGTAGAAAAAAAATTCTATGCAACAGGTAAAAAAAGGTGCACTACACCGTTGCATGCAAAATTTCTATTACCGAAAATATAAAGCCATAAATTTGAAAAAATATTCCACAACTATATGCCCTATAGTGTCTAAAGTAAGTTAGTTCACTACCTAGGGTGTAAAGTAAAATCACATTTTAAATGCAGAAAAAGGGCAGCAAAGGCTTCTATAATATAACATTTTATACTTTTGGGTATTTATGCATTTTTGCGAAGAAACTAATACGATTTAATAAACTTTTTTTTTTACTTCGCTCACTAGTGTGTGAAGTGATTTATAGGTACTTTACGCAATAGTGCGTGAAATCTAATTTTACGTCTTTTGAACAGTGCTTAAAGTAAGTACTTTACGCATGGTAGTAGAAAAAAAATATTTGTTAAAACCAAAGGCAACTGTTATAATATAATAATAAAATTTCTACATCCTGCATAGGTTTTTTTTTTTTTGATTATGTTATTTTCGACTATATCTTCCGAAGTACTCAACCTCAAATGACAAACTCAAAAACTGTTTCAAAATCAGAAAAATAAGCGCATATTTTTCAGCTTTTTTTACTAAGAAGTACATACGGTTCAGAAAAAATTAATTGAAGAAAATCAATTACCAATTCGATTTATTTTCTTATTTTTTTTCTTGTGTTTGACATAAATACAACCTGTCAAAATGGTTTTATACTTTTATTTTATTCTTTAGTCAAAAACAAAAGTATTTTTTTTTACTTGAAGAAAATCGGTTAAGAAATTAGAAAGTTACGATTTTTTTCAAGAATAGCAACAGCCGCCATCTTCAATTCATCATGGCAGAAAAAGCAAGCCTCCTAGGAGGTGTAACTTTTTTTTATAGAGTACTATTGATGGGTACTATCATCTGTGAAAAAATCAGCTTGATTGCAAAAACTTCTCCTAAAGGCCATTTTTTCAGCTAACTGCCCTGGCCTAAAGTCGTTTTAGATACAAAATATATAGTTCCTTACATAATAAACAAACAAAAATTTCTCAATAAAAATTCAAGAATTATTGACTTTTCGTTTATGAGGATTTACAAGATAAGTTTCGGAATCGAAATACCTCAAAATCGGCCCAAACTCACACCGAACTACAATACCTATTTTTATAAAACTGACAACCATTTAACACATTAAATATTTTTTCAGAAAAATGCCACGAAGACACCGACAAGAAGACATTTATTGGAACGCAGCTGAATCAGATAGGTTTGTAACAAAACTACGTCAGTGAAAAAAGTAATAGATAATTTGTATTACCGCATTTTTAAAACAAGAGCCAAAGCGAAAATGTATTATTTTATGCTTGGCTAAGTGAAGCTAATTAATTGTTAAATGAGAGTGAAATGTGTCCGATTTGCATCGCTAACTGCCACACATTTTGTAACGTGCAGTATTGTGACATACCTACATATTTTACCATAACTACCTATATTAGCTTTACATTTTTAGTGATGATTGTTTCCGAGACTACCAACGCCTACCACCACCTGCCAAAGAACCTTACATAGACCCTTGGGATCTAGAAAACTACGCCTACATCAGAGAGCATCTGGATTCCATGGAACTTTCTTCGAATCCATCTGTTCCACAAAGTGCTTCAAGTACTGGAAGTGGAGATTTTGGTGAAACAAATTCAAACTCGTTTTGTTACGTTCCTGGAACTAAAAGATTATCAGAAAGGCATATGGATGCTAATGGCGATTATGCGGATATTGAAGAAGTAAAATATGTGTCCAGAAGACCTGTGGAGAAACAAAGAAGGAACAGTCGGTATGAATATGGTAAGAGAAAGAAAAGCAATAATTATTTATTGTGGACACAAGCAATTAGGCAAAGTGGACTTTTTTTAAAATTTATCGTAAACAACGTGATTTCAATACTATGAATGAATTTTTTTTACTATAAAACCTGATGGATTTACATATTAAATGAACATTCTTTCGAAATTTACATATTTGTTAAGCTTGCAAATAATATTGCGCCGTTTGATACTTTTCTACAATTAATTTACATGCATTTCAATAGTCCAAAACAGCGTGAAAGCCTACATATGCCTAATATAGGAAAATTTTGTCATATTTTGTCTGGATTCTTGAAAAATATAAATATTTAAGTAGATTTTATATTATAATAATTATGCTTTCTCTATTTTCTGTGTAAGATAATCGAGACTCTTTTTTTGCTATTAATTATTTCTGTCAGAAGACATGATCTTACTCTCCCAGATTTTCTGAGCCTTTCCTGCCTTTCTTTTTGGTTCCTGTGGCGACAATCCACAGTTTTTCCGAGTAACAGGGAGTTAGCCCGATGCCTCAACCCCTTAACAGGAGGGTCAGATAACTTGTGATCGAGGTTGTTTTCCTCTAGCATTTGATGAGCGTGGATTCAGGTACCAAGAAGCATTTGTACAATTACAACCATTAAAAATAAGATCCGGAACTTGACACTACGTAAAGCGTACCTAGAGCATAAAAAAGGTAAACCCCATATACCTACCTACTGTCTACATATTCGTAAGTATTGTAAAAATATAAACCACCATTCATTATACGGGTCAGTTTATTTTAGGTTTTCTTATTTTTCTGTAATAGAAGATTAGAGGTATTTTTCGATTTCCTTAGAAAGCATTTTAGTATCACAAAATTATTAATGCCAAAAATCAACCGACGGCAATTGTAACTAATAATAATAACCATAATAATCCAGTAACTGCGTTGATGAGAGCTGGGGTTACCGTGCGTCAAATCCGGTAATTAGTTCTGATTTTTTGCCGAGTTATTAATGATATTGGCCCAATGAACTACCCAAGTTTTCGAACTCAACCATACAAAATTTCAACTTTCCACCCCCAGCCGTTTGGGCTGTACAGGGGCCGCGGCCGGAAGTCAAAACTTTGACAACCTCCCCAGGGTTCCCCGGGAAGGAGGGGGGACGAAAATTGTTTTGGCTCGACAAAATTAAAAGTTCTAGGTCCCCTGAAAATTTAAACTTTCTATTTTATCGGGAAGTGTAGCTGACATATCGCGCGCGGGCATTGTTTCGAGAAAATTTAAAAAGCTTTCTTTCGGAAACTGTTGCACGTACAGAGATGGTTGTGGTCTTAAATTATAGGAAATTTAGTCTACTTTAAAACTTCACTGAATAGTTATTTCGAAAAAACTAGCCCTTCAGGGTTAAAATCGACAAAGGTTGCATTCGGCCGTCGAGTTCGAAAATTTGGATTATTTATTAAACCAACATCATAAACAACTCAGCAAAAAATCAGAGCTACCGGATTTGACGCATGGTCGAATGTATAAGGTTTACTGGAGTATAAGTGCAAAGTTTAAGGAACGATAATTTCAAATAGGGATTCTGAAATGAGAAGTTAAAATGATTAGAATCTCTCTAATAACCTTGACTGAACGCTAATTTGCCAAAGATTTCCTTTACATAAAAAAGTGAACTCCGGCATTTGTTTATAAAAACAAAGCTGTTGTTGCGTAATGAGTTTTAAAATATCAATTAAAACCAGAAGGCCGTCGGTTGTAGCTTTTAAAAAACAATAGGATTGTAAATTTTTAATTGTTGTTATTAAGAACAATTCAAATTCTGATGTTGAATGGAAAGGCCGTAGAGTGCTAAATCACATTATTTGTTTTAAAAAAATGGATGAATAGATGGAATGATATACATTGTTTCACAAGGTACCTATTTAGTTTATCATTATTTCTAAGTTGCTTCTAGTTATCCTTTACTCGGCACAATTAAATTTGGCTCTGTGAACTGTTCATTACCAGCCTCAATTAAATAGATGCCGTTCAGGCACGTATACAACATTTTATTCTATATAAGTGCCGAAGGAAAAGGCCTGAATAATGGATGCACTGTACTTGGTACTAGTATATTATATGAACGCAAAAACGCAATAGGTGAAAACTCGAAACAAGCGTAATTTATAGTATGGCAGCCAATTGTATCAAAGTACTGGTATGTAAAAGGAAATTGCGTGTTTACATGTATAGGATTACTTTGTAGATATCTCTCTATGGAGCTTTTCGAACAATTTCTTCGGCCAACTGCCTGTATACCTAAGTGATTATCCTCAATTTTGCTTTTTAAATTTTTCAGTGTGCATCAAGCTGTAACCCACGAGCTCATAATCAAGTTAACAAATTGACAAACCACAAAACTAGACGTAAAAATAAAACTATATGAAAAAAACCAAAACATTATAGCAATAATTAAAGAAACAATAAAGCATTAGTTCTGCTAGGTTACACATTAAGTTGATGATTTTTTTTGCTGTAAACGAATTGCTTACATAAATAAAATATTGAAACACAGGATGGGACTGTACTGGAACTGTAACAGCTGTATTACTTCAGAATTTGTTTTATAATTTTGTAATTAGTCTAATATCTAATAAATTATTGGTTAGTAACTGAATATTTCTAGAACTATTCCAAATGAGAAAATTGGAACATGTAGAAACAAGAAATGCAAAAAAAGTTCCCATAAGATTCAGCGTGCTAGTGAAAACTAATCCTTATAAATACATAATTTTGTCTCTGAAATTACACATATCAATTTGACTTGGGATTTACATAAAGAAATTTAAATTCCTATTTCATAACTAATTTAGCTGCAGGACTTGTAACAAATAATTTGCATTTGCAATACCTGTACCATTACTAAAAAAAAGTATACCAATAAATGTGCATATAAGTGAAATTGATTTTCAAATCCCACGACGACATAACTTCATTGTTGCATAAAGAAGCATTCTCTGCAATAATAACACGCATCATTACGAATTTCCCGATGCAGGTATTATTAATTTTAATGTCGCAGTAATTTACACTTATTTGAATAATGCAATTCATGTAACATGGGACCTATCAGGATGAGGATGTTTGATTTCCTCGTTAGAACGGATTAATTTATTTTTAGATGCATCCACCAGATCACAATACCTATACTTATACAGTGTCATTACTTAAGTGTGCAACATATGGGATTTTTTTTTAGTAATAGCACAATCAAAATACAAACAAGGCCAAAAGTTGGTGCATGTCTAATAATCATATTAGGTGCACTTAGAATGGGTGCAAGTCAAACAGCATACAGGGTAGCTCAAAAAATATCAAAATTGTAATAATATTTACTTAAATAAAATAAAACTTTTGCACTTTAAGGAGAGTTTTTTTAATATGGCTATTATCATTAGTAATGTTTTAACTTGTTAAAAAAAAATTGCGACATTTTAAAGTTGTGTTGAATGTCATTGCAACAAACATGAATTTTGTGATTCCATAAAAAATTAAAAATCTAAGTTAATTTTACAAATATGCTTGAATTTGAACAAAGTTATGTAAAATTGATTTGATTTTAATTAATTTATGAAAGTATTAAGGGCGAAAATAAAAAATAAAAAAAATATAGAAATTATAGATTTTTTTCGAAAAAAAATAAAAAAAATCTTAGGAGGCTATGTTTTGGTACTTAGGTATTTCTCTATAATATTTTGCTGAATTTTCTAAAATAAGGCTACTTTACAGTACAGCTTTGATATTGTTTGAGCTACCCTGTATGCTGTTTGACTTGCAACCATTCTAAGTGCACCCAATATGATTATTAGACGTGCACCAACTTTTGGCCTTGTTTGTATTTGGGTTGTGCTATTACTAAAAAAAATTCCCATATGTTGCACACTTAAAAAATCACACTGTATACACTTGGCCAATCATAAAACTGGTACGCCTTTTCCTATTGTGTAGTATTGTGTAAATCGACCTTTTTTATCACCTCAAAAATGACAAAAAGAGTCAAGTCAGTGTCATTTTTAAACCAAACATAACATAAAAACGTGTTGGATTTACTTTTGTTCAGCTTTGACATTGACAAAAATTGTCTGACCTAAGTTTTTCAGGACTTTTTGTTGTTAAGCCTGACTCACACTAGGCATTCTACCCTCTAAGCAATGTAATATTGCTTTAATATTTTAGTAATGTTTCTAGGTAATATTGTAATATTTCATTTTTTATTGCTGCTATATAAGTGCAAAGTTGATGCAATTACTGAAACGGACTTATTCTAATATTCACAAATGCAATGTTTACAAAATAAACTTTTCTGCAATATCGCCTCAATCTTGTATTTTCATAAAAAATAAATTACGTTTGTAACATCTTAAGCACAACAACAAGTTAAGATAAATATTACAGTTGCAATATTTTTATTAGTACTTTACATAAATTTACATAATGAAATATTGTATGTATGATAGATATTTATTATATCGTGAGAATTTGCATTAATGCAAGACATCGCAAGATCCTTTGTTTTTAAATTCCCTTTTCTGCAAGTCCAACTACAGACCGCGGGGCACAATGGTTAGTTAATAAACTTCCAATTTCCAATTGATCTTATCACACATGCACATGCCTCGATTCCTCCAACATAGGTATTGTAAAAAATCCACCTAAAATTAAAAATTAAACAGTATTAAAAAATCACAGAAAATTAAAATGGTAAAATCTTACATTGGCTTTTTTCTCTTCCTCTCCCAAAATCTCAAGATCTTGATGAACTCTTTCGTCCTGTTTAAACTCTCTGTTATTATTTGTCAAGCCAAGAAAAACAAAGCGTCGTCTGCGTCCTCCTCCGTCCTAGCGTCCTGGTTTTTGGTGGCGTGGCGTCAACAACTCAGGTCAAAAACAAATGGGTGGTGCGTCTGCGCCGTTCCGAATTCCCAAACAATTGTCCCGTCTTTGTCAGTCTAATATATTTTTGCATGACAGAGACAAAGACAGCATACCTATTGCAAATAAAAATTATCTGCAAGTTTTATGCAACATTGAGAAAATTTATGTTTCTTATTCCAAAGTTTATGTTAAAATATTTAGGTAACGTTTTTTATTCTTGAAACTGTTAACGTAGGCATGTAAAGGTATCTGCAACATTACAGCGACAGTTTTAAGAAAAGTTGAGCTTATAATATTTATGCAACCATTTATTTTATTATATTTTTTTAATGTTACAAACGTAAATATTTCCGCAACATTGAAGCGACAGAGTTGAGAAAAGTTACATTTTATAAAATTGTTATAATATTTGCTTTACTTACATTTTATAATGTTTCGAATGTAATACATTATTGTATCTACTGCAATATTTACTTAATAACTAAAACGGGTGATAGATCACTTTAGGTCCCTTTGATTTTCAATATGATTTAGATTATTACTGATAAACAAAGCAATTTCAAGATGGTTAGCGAGAAAAAAAATATGGATCCTTGAATATTTATCAAGTTATGATATTTTTTTAATTTAATTTTTTTCTTTGTTGATTGTGCATCTTTGATAGGTATAGCGATATTAAGCTGATAAGAAGAGATATTATTTATTGATCTGTGTCAAAGGCTGAGAAGCGAGAGGATATAAGGCATTAGTGACTACTGATTTTTTACAATTATTATTATTTTTTCATTTATTTTGTTGACTTTAATAGATTTCTATTTTATGGCAAAATCAGCATACCACCTTGGTAAATATTTACAATATTTAATGTTTATGGAAAGGGTTATTTTGAGGTTTTTTACTGATTTTATTGATTTTTTACTGGTTTTTTACTGACATTTTCAAAATTCCTACCTAATTTGTGATTAGTTTCCTTAATTAACTTAGTAGTTGTCTATTAATGACCTGACGGTGCAATCTTTGCATTGAAGTAAATGGTCAACATTTTGAACATTTATTGTAAACCATAATTTATTTGTTAATAAATAAGCAAAATTAGTAAGTAAACAGTGAATTAATTATTGCGAAGAATAAAAGTACCAGACAATTTTTTTGCTCTACAGCCCAAATGGCTCATTTGCGGACATATGTTTATATAAACAAAAATGCTTGTTTTTTGTTCTAATGTCCCTTACTACCCTTTAAAGTTTGTCGATATCTTTTTAGGACACCCTGTATATTTAAATAATATATTGTTTACCAAAAAAATGAACTCATCCATATTTTTTTTGTCCTAATAATTGCTCCAATGCAAATTTGAACATAGAAAAATTGTCCGTTTTTAGGGACCTAATGTGTTCTAGACCCATATTTTAGAAAGCTTATCGTCACATTACCTAATAAATTTTCTAAAGCAAGGTCAATACAATATTGCCGACAAATTTTGCAACAATACATGTTTAGTGGGTAGGCTTTGAAAAATATGTACCAGTTGTAAGTTTGGCCAAGTGTACATGGGAAAATTCGGTTCCAAGGCAGCAAAATGGAGCAGATTCCTTCATAAGTGATCTAGAGGAATATAATAATCGTCGAGGGCAGATGAGAGAAGCCAGAGAAGGGTGTAGTTTCAATTTAGTAAATCATGGAATGGAATAAGTGACTACGCACCAGCAATCAAAATTAATGGATTAAAGACGAGAGTTTGTGTTAATGGGTAAAGGTAAAGCCGCTGAGAGTGTATGAAGATCAATAAAGCAATAAAGAAAAAAATATAAATTGATCTGAGAACAAACTACGGGGCTGAAATCGGAAGAGCAATCCAGAGCAACAGAGCAATAAAATGTTCAAGATCAATATTCGGATAACTAAGGTCCATCAAAGACAATAATGGAGGGGTGGGAAGGAACAATATTGCCACGGATTTACTGAAACTCTGTTTACTAAGATTTAAGAACAACAACTTTTACTTATTGAACTAATTCACTAATCAATTCTCACTTTTACCTAACTTTTATATAACATTTCTCTTATTTAAACTGATTCTGATTCGCAAACTACGATCTTTATATAATATATGGTATGTACCTACTTCGATAAAAAAGTTTGTCTATATTTGATTGCGGTTTGAAACATATTAGGGTGCAATGTTTGGTCTAGAGGTAGATAGGTTTGTTTTGCTGAATAGGAACTTTTCCTCCAACATACACAGACTGGAAAATGAAAAAAAAAAACAAAATTTCACAAAAACTTCAAACGCCCATCCGCTAGAGAGGATTGTCAGAAACCAAAACGACTTCGTACTATTAAATTGAAAGAAAACTGGCTCAACGAGCAGTGTACCGAAATCGAAGTGCTGGAGGCTAAAAATTACAGCATTGATATTGTTACGAAATTGCATCAAGATGCCGGCCAGTCGCCAGACTCCAAGAATCGAGTTATTTACATCTAGCGTGAGTATTCGGGGATTTCTATTATATTCGAGTAGGGTTTGCAGAGATTGCTTTGTTTCTTGGGTTTTCTACATGTCGGTTCCAGGAAAGTGTAGATTCTAGGGCACTAGAAATTTTTCTTCTTGTTACCAGTTAAGTTTATTTCCATTGAGGCAAATGTTTCTCAGGTTTGGGAGTTTTGTTTTTCCTAATAGGCTGTTGACTATGTCTTTCAATAAGGAACTAAGACGTTAGTATGGAATTTTATTGTTTGACATGTTCAAATGGTCCCTAGAGATGATAAAACCGCGGAGTGCTACCAGATATAGGGGAGCATTTTTAGGAGCGGGGTGAGTTTATCATCTTTTTGGGTTTTCAGCTATAACTCAAAAACCATGCATTTTTGGGGCTGCATTGAGGGTTTTTGTAGAGAATAAAATTTCATATCGAAATGACATCTTTTGAAGTCCAAAAACTTGTTTTCTGGTGGCTAGATTTCTAGCATTAATTCTTTAGACTCATGAGAGGTTTCATCAAATACCTCCTTTATGTCTAAGAGAGCACAGATGGCTATTTCTTTATTTTGCAGTGTGTTCTGGATGAGCTACTAGAAGGGTAAGAACAAAATCTTACATTGTCGAGCATTGTGAAGAATTTATAAGAATTTCAGACAGATGGTTTTTGAGGATAATTAAAAAAAAAAAAAAAAATCATAAATTAATTTGAAATTTGAACTATACGATACGACTGATTTAATTTCTCTCCAAAGTCAGTGTATATGTATATGTGTCTTTTTTTGTCCAGTACTTTAATGGATGTTTCACAATTTTTCGTTATTTCAATCCTCTATCTCTTTTTTTCTGTTAATTTGCATTACTTACAGTTCCGTACTTTGCATACCTACGGTATGCAAGTGTTCGTAATTGTATGCTTTCGTAATATTTTCTTATTGGGGGAAGATATCAAAGACGAAAGGCCCGCAGAGGGCGCCGCCGGAGGCGGAAGATTTTCTCGAGTGCCACGCCCAAAAAAGTTTATTGAAGCCTTCAAAAACATTTTTTTTTTCGGATAACAGGCCGAAAAACATTTATGTATTTTAAGCCTTACAAAAAATAATGTGTGGACATGCCGTTAATTTCAAAAAATCCTCCCGGATGTCTCCGGCCGCCTTGAAACCTAGAACAAATCTGGAGAAATCCGGACGGATGACAGTCGCACCCAACCCATTAACCCATAGTTTAATAAACAAATATTACATCAATCATCAAAACAGAAACTATCACCTTTCCTTTGATTGAACTAAACCATTCGCCGACAATGCCGACTTACGATAGAGAATGAAGAGGTCAATAAAATAAATAAGAAACAGCATAATTTTATAATTTCTTATTTTTTGCTTTTGTTTTTCAAGAGCTGTAGGGGCGCCATAAATGTGGGGGCGGGGGGGGGGGCCGTCGCCCCCCCTGCTCCCCTACTGGCTACGCCACTGCTTAATAGTTGCAGCGATCAATTCCTGAAATTATTGCGTAACAATAAAAAGGAAATAGGTAATATGTATATTATTATAAGAACCTTTGCCCAAGTCAAGCATATACTTATATCGAAAAATTCAGAACAAGGTAATTCAAAAACACTAATTGCTCGAGCTTAATTTTGTCATGCACATTTGTCTATTCTTTTCAACGCTAAATTAACTACGCTGGCCTTCATTTCAGCATCGTCAAGTTTTCTAAGCTACCTACTTTGGACGGGATGATTATGTCGGTACTTTTGTTGAAACAGAAGAAATATAAGTATGTAGGTACCTAAGTACTTGGGTATAAATTGTAATTATTATACAAAAAAAAAAATCAATTTTTCACTGAATTTTTGCTAGTACCTACTTTCATTTGATACAAAAAACTGGGACATATCCTGATGGTTTGGCCTCTGTATTTTGAACCCATATTCAAATAAAATAAAGTAAAGTTCAATAAGATGACATCCATTCGCAAAATTCCACAACCACGTTTCATAATTTTTATGTAAACATTCCATTCTTTTGGTGTATTTAAAGTACAATTAGGTGGCTAATCACTTCTAGTAGAATTTGCATATTTCATAAGCCATTTAGGTAATTAATTTTGTAAACACTAAACGTCGTTAAAAGTCTTGGTTATAGATATATATAATTATAATGTACATGTAATGTTTTGTTTCGGCCAATACAAACTTCGAAACGACCCGACCATCATATTAATTAATCTACGACAAAACGAGAGGTTTTTTAATGTTTTATTCGTTTCAGAAATAGAAGAAAATCCTTACGAACCAGGTCTGTCAGAAAATTCAATTTTTGGGATCTACGATAAGACAGGTCGTTTTAGAAAAGTTGCTGTCCCTGTAGATACAGCATATAAGACACAATTGGACAGAAGTCTGAGTTCATCCTATAGCTATGAAAATTATGAGTAAGGAAGAATATATTAAACAAAAATGATGGTAGATAACATGAACTTTTTTTAGATATGATCCCTATGTCTCCAGATACGACATATACTCTAGACTAGACGAAATGGCTCCTTCGGCAAATCAAACGATGCCAATCTACGACGATGTTAGAAGGTTGAGGAAAAAACCAAGAAATTTTGGTCTAACGAATTACGGCCACCTTAAAATAGATTATTCATTGAGTTGGAATAATTTGAACAGATATATAAGATATCACAGTTAAAGAAATATGCTTTACGTGCTATTGAATTTGATATGTAGTCACCTTCGGTAGTCACAGAAATTGTAGGTAGAGTTAAGGCATAAAATATAATAGAAAATTGTTATTAAGTATTAAAAATGATAAAGTTGTATTATGATTTTTTTTCTCTAATAAGATAAGCTGATTATTCTTTGTTAATCATAATTTTTTTATTGTTGTTAGTAAGACTGTTGTCGATAGGATTACTATTATTTCTCACTATTTCTCAGTACCTACCTACTTATATATTGGACTTATTGTATTTTTATTTAAATAAAAAGTACCTACCTACCTGTTGATAATTTTTTATATTACTGTCTCACTTCACCAGACAATGGAAGCTCAAAATAAAAAAGTTCTGTTTTTCTCATAGTTTATTATAGGACTATAGGGTAGGTATTCCGAAACAGAAAGTCAATAACAGCAATAACGAATATACTTTGCCAAAAATTATTAGATTCGACTATTAGGGGACTAAGTATATGCTGAGAGTTAATGAGTAGCTATGTATCGTATTGTGTATTGTTTGTATGCATTGCATTTACTGTATTCCTTTTATACATTGAGTTACACCTAACGAGCTCCTCAGAGTCACTCCAAAACACACAATTCAGATTTTATTATTATTTTTTAATATTAACATTACCGTTATTACCTAAAAGGGCTTCTTGCACCCCCCGCAAATTTGGTGCATCAGGGGAAAGGGGGATGCACTATGAGCGACTCGAGTGCTTAACGCACTTTTAAAAGGAACGTTCAAGCTTTTGACATTGAGCAGCTCAGAGTCACTCAACGGGTAAAAGGAATACAGTAATTGTATGTATTGTATGCATTGCATTGTATGTATTGTATTGTATGCATTGCATTGTAAGTATGTATTGTGTATGTGTATGGCGGTGAAAGTTGCACTGCGACTGCGACCTAAGTTGATCTATTGTACCCCTCCTTCTGCTGCTAAATTTAGGTTTCCTGCTCAAAGCAGCTTCTCTAATTCTAAGTCCTTTAGGAATCTTAGGACATTCAGTGGTTCCAGAAATTTCTTCTAACTGTATAAGCGCACGTCCCATATGCTTTATCCTTAAACGACTAACGCATTTGCAGTTCAGTAGAGCGTCTCTTCTCCGTCCCCACAGAATCTACTGGTACTTACCAGTTTCTTCCACCCTTAATTTCCGTAGGTGTTCCTTAAGTCTGCAGTGCCTCGAGAGAAACCTGATTAAAGTTTTGAGACTTTCCTTGCTGAGGTTGACTAGCAGTTCTGAACTTCTTTGTGTATATTGCACATAGATCCTTGTCCTTTCATAGTCGTGGCTGTTCTAGCCAGTTTGTTTCTTAGTCGATTCCCTTCCTTTTTGAGGGTTCCTTCATTGGAAGTGCGTATTTCCGACTTTTACTTGAAATTAAGTACCTAGCTAACATCAAAACTCACAAACGACATATAATGCGAACGTTATCATTTCAATGTTTGTTAATTAAACGAAACAAAAATACCATTCCTATGGAAATAAGCAAACCCGCCCAACAAGCAACAAAAACAACAGTTTTACGATAACTACTTTGTTTCCTTAAAATTAGGGCTTCGCGAGACCACAAGACTAGTCTTGGTCTTGTCTTGGTCTTGCAGCAAGACCAAGACCAAGACTTGACGTTCAAGGCCAAGACCAAGACTCTCTCTCGAGACTTTCGTCTTGGTCTTGGTCTTGAAAAAAAAAATCGACCCAATATTTATAAAAATATGCAAATTCCTATATCTATCTTCAATGTTTTTTAATTAAATCAATTCACCAAATTTTTTTCAAATTCACGAGAAGGTATTATAGGTTTTAAAAATACAACATAGTTCAGATAACATTTATTTACACAGAACACAGGACATACAAAAAAAATCTAGGAACAAGAACAAAATACTAATATTCTGAAATTAGATTAGACAAATCGGAAAATTTACTAAATTCAGAAAAATGTGAAGAAGACCAAATGCATGGTCGAAACGTCGGCATAATTTTTTCAGGAAGGGAGTTTTATTTTTTATTTCTGAAGTTCTAAACTCATTATCTCTGCTCTGTCGTTATATGTTATGTGTCAGCTACCGGGCCCTAGGCGGGAGAAGGTATGGGGCCTTAGCCCAAAGTAACTTTTCACTGTTTTTGTCCAAAGTGAAAAAAAAAGCCTTTCAAAATGCTGCTGGAAAGTGTTTTGGTACGTTCTAAATGGCTTTTTGCAGTTCTAAAGTGTTCTAACTTGGCTTGAAGAGTTCTGGAGCATTCTAGAAGTTTTTCAGTAATTTCTAAATTGTTCTGACAGATTTTTAATTATTTTAGAGCCCTATTGAAGCTCCAAAATGTTCTAAATTGAATCAAAAAAGTTCTAAAAGGTTTCCAGTTCTAAATTAGGATTAAATTTAGAACTTTGAAATTGTTTTAAAATAACTCTGAATTTTCTCAATTGCTCCAAAATGCTCCTGAAAATTCTGATTTAAATTTGAACTGTTTTACATGCCTTTGAAGAGTTCTAAAGTTCTACAGCAATCAAAATTTGCTCTAAAAATCCTTCTAAAAGGCGTTTTGTAATTTTTAATCTGAATCCTAAGATTCTGGCGCTTGTCAAAATGTTTCTGGGGATTCCAGAGTGTCTGAGTTTGGGTGTTTTGGAGCGTCCTAAAATGGGTTTCAACGGTTTCAACCTTCTGAGTTGTTCTAAAATGCTTTTGGAAATCGGTGTTTGAATGTTTTGGGGCATTCTAAAATGGTTCTGAAATTTCCAAAATTTTCTGAAGCGCTACAGAATGCTTTTGGAAATTCTGAATTTAATTTTAAATGTTTTGAACTTTCCAAAAGGTCTAATAAAGTTCTAAAGTGTTCTGTAGCATTTTAAATGGTTTCCAGTAACTTCTAAATTAAATGAAAAACAATTTTGTGGGAAATTTTTCCCAAAGGCGTCCCTAAGATGTCCATAAACGACATTCAAGACGTCTTGCCTACGTCTCAAAGACATCTTGAAGACGTCGTAATGTAACAAAACCCAACGTCTTCCAGAGATCTGCCTAGAGATGTCTTCAGCACTAAGACGTTCGAAAGACTACTTCAAATCTTCAAAGAGATGTCTCAAAAACGTTTTTGAATATCTTTTCAATACATAAATCATTATTCACTTTTAGGCTTGAAGAAGAGAAAGATATGAATTTACGACATTTTATTTGGACATCTTCAAAACAACATCTTCTGGGCGTCTTTTTTTGCCTTTGGCCTTCAGACGTTCAGACGTCGTAATACAGGCCCTAGAAAAGACGTCTTCAAGACTTTGTGTGCTGTCTGGGTAGTGGAACGTGGAACATCTCGTATCTATTATCTATTAGGTACTCGTTTAACGGATGTTCATCAGCAACATGACATAACACAGCTACAGAACAGTGTTGTGTTGTCGATAGTGTGCGTATTTCGGGTGGTGTGGGCGCAAGGTTGCAAAATAAGATATTTGATTTCAGAGTGAATTTCGGGCCCCATTGAGCGCCCGGGCTTTATACATTTTTGAGACTATCAAGACCAAGACCAAGACCGCATTTATTTTTCGAGTCCAAGACCAAGACTGGCCAGTCTTGGTCTTGGTCTTGGTCGAAGCCCAACTTAAAATCAATTTTAGCGTTCATATTTTTATTTTTTTTTCATAATTCCGGAAAAAACTTGTTATGTGGTACCCATAATCTTAGCTGATAGCCTATGGAAAACTAGGATAGGAATGTACAAGCCGATCTGCTCTATTTCAATCCGTTTAGATTTTACAGCCGTTCAAAATTGAAAAATAGTTTTGTGTCAATATTTCCGAAGCAGTTGGAGATAGGAGATAACCAAAATATGTATCTACTAATTTCAAATTGAAATATGTCTTAATTCCAGAAATTTCATAATATCCAGGGGTGCTGGTGCTATTAAAAAAATAAAGTTGATACCGGTACACGGTACAGCTGGGAACATCCCATATAAATTGGTTTGTATTTTATTGTATAGATATTACAAGGCAATTTAAGCTAATTTATTCGAAGTACAAGTGAGACAACGAAAAACAAGCTCACAAACGTTTAGTTTTCTATTTGGAAACCATTAAGTCATATCATAATAATTAATAGTGACCTTATTAAAGTCCACAGAGTAATTTTTCTACAAACCAACGCATCGTGTTTCATATTGGTGAATTAGAAGAATCACGGGAATTTCGACTCCGCCATGGGGCATTTTATATAATATCAAGTTTCAAGAAACATCAAAAGAGAATTTTTTGATAAATACCTACGCACGACCGCAAACAACGGAATTGGAGCTAACCAAATGCTGATGGACTCCAAAGAGAGACAAAAAGAGAAAGTCGACGACAAAGGAAAGTGGAAAGCAAGAAGTAGAAGACAGAAGAAGAAGCCCGAAGTCAGAAAGAGAGTCAAGAAAGCCGAAGAAAAGAAGAACAGGACTAGCTTCAGCATATTATTCCAAATTTCAGCGAGAATGGATGAAACCCGTAATCTCTGAAGAACAAACCAGACTCGAGGACATCCTGAAAAAACAAGATTGATTCACTAATGCAATGGAAAAAGTACGTGAACAAGTTAGGGAGTGTTCGCCAAGGAATGAATAGCCTTCAGAAGACTGAAAAGTCGAAATGTGACTTGAAATGTGTCATCTACGCCTGCAACCGGTATTGAAGTCAAACCACACTGAGGAAATTAAATTGAATTCCTAAATTGTCTTACTGGAATTTTCTTCATTGCAGACAAAATATCTCTAATAACTGCCATAAATTATCTATTACTGAATAACGTATTTTTATGGTTGCTAAAAATTCTTTGTTAAATTATCCTCATTATCACCTATATAGTTATCTATGAGCTCCTATAAAAAACTTTACTCTTGTTAAAAAATTAATTTACTGATGTATTGTATTCAAATTTCTTCATACGAATTTACTATAGTAGATAGATACTTTAATATGGTACACACGATCTTTAAAATTGATCTTCACAACCATCGATATACGTTTTTTATAACAACTATTAGTTGATTTTCAGTCTTTAAAATGTACGTTATAGCCATAATAAACTTGAGCGGGCTGTTATTGGCTTCGGCTGTTCGCGAAACAACCCGAAGCGCGCCATAATGGTTTACTTTGTCATTTTTCTGTGCATTCCAATTATTGCTTCCGAGCAAGCATGTAGCATATGATCCCGCTCATATGTAATCAGGTGTTTGTGTCGTGTCTCGCCATTTTTTGCTGTAAGCATTCATTAGTTATAGTGCGTTGGTGCCGTTGGTGAATTATTTAAATTATTTTGAATTATTTATCATTTATAACCTTGGATTTTGGATTTACACTGGCGCACTAGTCTGACAATGGCGTATAAAGTTGCCCTTCTAGAGAGGGGCTTACAGTCATTTATCGAAGGTAAGCTATGAGTAGGTTTAAATATAACCCCCTCAATGCTTTCACTAATTTTCAGATTTGGAATTATTCTATTGCACAAAGCAACTGAAACTAGGATTTCCTGGATTCTTTTTTTTTTTGAAAAACAAAATTCCTTTTTGAGAAAATCTATATATATAAAACACAGTTGTGTTTTGTGGAAGCACTTATAACTCGAGAACGGCTGGACTGATTTTTATGATTTTTGCTTTATTGTATTTGTCTTTGTCTATCCTAACATAATAAATCGAAAAAATCCAAAAAAAAACAAAACAAAAAAATTACCTTTTTTACTTATTTATGAAAAAAAATTAATAAGCCCGCATACGGCGCCATCTCTTATAACCGATACCAAGTTTACCGTCACATTTTCATTGCAAAGCATGTGGATTTTATTGTCACATACACTTTGCAAAAAAACAATTTAAGGAAAGCACTTTACTTTCAATTGTTCTTCACAATAAAAATGTCCAAAAATAAATAGAATTACAATGTTTTAATAGACCTATCTATTTTCCTGTATGCGCGCGCAACACGAAGCAATGCATTTTAATTGGCTAACTAATACAGGTGAGAGGTGTTCGTTTTGCACGCTAGGCATCTCCTTGTCTTTGTTCATTGCCCGTGGTCTGACAAAGATCAGAATTATGGTTGAAAAATAACTTGACGTAGCTTGACAAATGATCGGTTTTCAATTGTTTGTGTTTTTGATTGACAAGTACGTTGCACGCCACGCGGTTTTCCTCCTTCCCTTTCTATCCCGTGCAAATAATAAGAAGGGATTGCTATACATAAGTCTAACATGGTTTGGTACATTTTGCCTCGTCTTGCGCAATAAGCGTTCTGCGTCTTTTTCTATGTAATAAAGTTTTCGTATTATTACCTCTTTGTCTGGTAAAATAGATAGGTCTATTGTGTATTTTATTTTGTTGTTGGTCCATTCCGAAAGAGCGCGAACTGGTCTTCCTGTCATTTCTTGACGCTTGACGGCTTGACCATTGACGTTCTGTGGCTAAGTTCCGTTTCTCCTCTCAGGCATCCCTTGACAGCCGTGTTCCGTGCCGACTGTTCGGAGTTCTCCGTCCGGCTGGTGTCGAGTGGTAGAGAGCCAGGTTATGAGTCCGCCACAACCATTTTGTATACGGCGCCATATATGATACCTAGAACGAAGCTCACCGATGCGCGGTAATTTCATTTCAGATGCAGTAGAACCATGCTGCTCAGGAACTGGAGATATTTAGAACAGAACTATTCCACTATTCTGATCAGATAGAGTGGTGCAGAAGGAGTAGATCAGATAGAATAGTGCAGATGGAGTAGTGCAGTGCAGATAGAGTGATACAGGGCTGCGCTGTAGATTTTTTTTCTGTTTTCTTTACATTCTTTGAACATTCCTGTGCCTGAGTTTATTTATTTGGTGGTACACTTTACAAGAAAAATGCCCACAATTTTGTTCGTTAATATGATTGCTGTAGATGCAGTTTTTATTTATTTTCAATATCACCATAATAATATGTAGGTAGGTACCTATCAACAATCAATAAAAGTTTGGTTTAAAAAATATCCATTGTCTTTTATTTTTCTCTTCCCAAATGCAATATAATAGTATAAGTATTTTTAATTTGAATTGAAACATTAAAAAAACATCTAAGCCGTTTTCTCGCGTTCACTTTTCTGACATTGGTTCACAACAGGTTTGAAACGGGCAATGGTGTTTCCATTGACTATTTCAAACTGGTTTTGAACCAATGTCAGAAAAGTGGACGCGAGAAAACGGCTTAGATGTTTTTTTAGTGTTTCAGTTCAGATCAAAAATTTCATACCATAAGATTTTTAATAACCCTTATAAGGTTGTCTTGTTATGAATATAAAAGGAACTTTTGGTGGTTAAAAAAAAAATATTAATGGTATTAAGATATTCATCTGTTATTATTAAAATGCTTATATTATCCCTTATAAGATGTATTAAGGGTTAATATACAGTTTAATAACCATCATTAAATATTGATTGACAGTTAAAAAACCGTTTTTTAGCCATTCAAAACTATTTTATTGTGATTCGTTTATAAATTTTTAATGGTCTTTAGGCGATTTCAGTAAATAGTAAATTGGTCTATCAATGGTAGCAAAGTAGTAGTTTATAAAGTGACTTTAATAATGGTAACTACAGCGCCTAGCTGTCCCCCATTTTATGCGATATTTTTATTAAGTTATTAAGATTTTTATAATGGTCTAAAATTAATTCTCTCAGTGCACAATGCTAAAGAACTAATTCTAAAAGAATTACGGAAGGTTATACGTAATGACGTATGACATTGTTAGCATGACAGGTAGAGTACATCTGAGATCTCGCGCGCTTTCCTTCTGGCGACTCTCAGCCTTCAATGGGAAACTTAAAACGGGGTAACGAATGTTACCGCTGCAGAAGAAGAGGACATTTTGTACGTGACTGTAAATTACGGCTTCCTCTGATGAATTTCAGTACTCGATTGGGGTGTTGCAACTGAACCAACATCATTCTGATAAACTGGATGACAACGCAGAGATGTCTTGTCCGGTTGATCAACGATTGAGACTTGATCAGCGTGAAAGTGTTTCTGTTAGAAGCCTTCGATTCGAAACGGATCAAGAACAGATTTCCGATCAACTTAGAATAATGAAGCTGCTGGGTAAGAACTGATGGTATGATATTCAAGCTTACACCATTAGCAAACTTTGAGCCAATATCAAAGGTTTGCAACAACTGTTTGTGATCCTCAATATGCTGATAGTAACGCTGTTTTGGCCAACACAGAGGAAGATCTACAAACTGTACCTACCAACTAAAATGCAAGCATACGGATACATTGGTCTAGCACTTAACACGAATAAAACGAAAATCCTATGCCAGCCTGCCCCAAACAAGAGTGCCATCTTCCAAAAAATACAAATATATAGATGCAGAAATTCAGCACCAACTAAACGAACTGCGCTAGCATAGTTTGTGAACGTCTCTCAAAGACAGTGTTTGACAACAACGACCTAAGAGCCCAAATCAAGCTTTTGCTTCACTATGCCATCGGATATGAAACCTGGACCACCTACAGGCGACAACTGAACCGTGTTAAGGAAAAAAACTTGAGATAAACTGACAGGATCACCAAACGAACAACAGTATTCTTGAGGAACTAACATATTATAAACTAATTTCACCGGCATTGTGGCAATGCTCATCTAACATCACTTTCGCCGGGCTGGTCATGTCGCCTGCATACAACTCACATCTCACAAGCAAATTGTTTTCGCAACTGTAAATAAATTAACAATAATGTGTAAATGAACTTTTATTTCAATAAAAAAATTCAAGTTCAAACATAAACGAAAAATGTTCTTCAAGAAACCACAAACTCATTATAATTAAACAAAATAATATTCTTGAAAACAAAAAAATCACAAACTAATAAACTTTGAGAGCTTAGCCTTAGCCTACATAAACATACATACATACATACTTAGTATAAATAATTCTGTCAAGACTAACATCTAACTTCTCAATTCCAAAGGAAAAATTAAATGAAAAACTCAATACAACTGATAAATAATCAACAGTTTAGCATACTCTATTTTTGGCATGTCTTGTCAATCAAAAATTCTAAAATGTGATGAGCTCAAAGTAATTTATAATAAGTAATAATGTTACAAATATTTAAAACATTTCAACTAGAATATCTATACTTAAAATTTCAATCACATATCTTACAAACATACTGAGCGTTAGTACAAGTAATAATTTACTTCAAATCTTCAAAATAAGATCCTGATTCATCCACGAAATTTTTATGAGAAGTCATTTGTTCAGCTAAAAGATCAGCAAATCTATAAATGTGGTGTCAGTCTTTAGTAGAAAAAAATATTGCAGTAGGATGAAATTACTTACTTGCAACGTAATATTTCATTTTCATGGATAATTTCATTGGTATTGTGTAAGACAGGAAATTCTAGAAAATAAAATAAATAATTTCCTTCTTGCAAAAAGTTGACTTCACCTTACCAAGTTTTGCATTTTTCATAGCCTCCCTTATAATTTGGTCATATTTATTTTGCACAGCATCAACATAAGTTATTAGTTTATGAATGTTAGCAACAAAGTTATCTGCCCAGAGAAACAAATCCTGGGACCATTTTATAATTTTACAAACATCTCTAAAATTAACTATTTTAGTGACGAAAAAAAAAAAAATTAGTAAGGTACTTACTTGAAATAACCCTTCAATTTATCTTCTTCAACAAGTAATTTATATTCCATTTTTATAGCTTCTGAAACTATGTCCCTGATTGGTCTCAACTGTATTAAATTTGGAGGTTCTTCGTTTATTGTCTTTTCCAGAAATCCAATGCCATTTATTCTATCAAACCTACAAAAATGTTTTTACGACGGTTGTTTTTCCTTTTTTTTTTAAATAATACTAATGTTTGTATTAATTATAGCGGTGCTGGTGCTCAAATTAAATGTAGTATTAACCTAGTACTCAAAACTCAAAACACCTAGAAGTAGGTATTTATTTGCCAATAAACAAATAGAAGCTTTTCTATAGTGACAGAGCCAATAAGGGTGTCCCAATAGAAAGTGACCGATTGTGAATGCTTATAACTCCTAAACCAGGTGTGCTAGCTACCTGCGATTTGCACCATTGGACTTCTCTTGGTCTAAAGTTTTTTTCAGTTAGTTGCAAATTTTTTTCACACCTATACAGGGCGAGTAAAAAAATGCCGTTTTTCAACATGGAAATTCTCCACCATTTTTATTGAAACACCATGTATGTTGCAACGCCAAAATTAAGAGTTGTGTACAAGGTATTGATGTACCAATAAACATCGGGCATGAAACTTGAAGTTTTAGCCCTAAAAAATTGAAATAGAAATCTGGCCCAAAAATAAATGCATTTTTTTAGGTTCAAAAAAGGACGACGTTTATTGACAAATGAATACCTTGGTCACGACTCTTAATTTTGGCGTTGCAACATACAGGGTGTTCCATTAAAAATAGTGGAGAATTTCGATGTTGAAAAACGGCATTTTTTTTACTCGCCCTGTATAGGTATGAAAAAAATTTGCAACTAACTGAAAAAAAAACTTTAGGCCAAGAAAAGTCGATTGGCGCAAATCGCAAGTAACTAGCACACCTGGTTTAAAAGTTATAAGCATTTAAAATCGGTCACTTTCTATTGGGACACCCTGTATAATGACGCGCAGAGTATTTTAAACTTCGAGATTTCATATTATTCAGGCAAAAATGTATCTCTCATGTTCAATCAATTTCTCAATGCAGTTAGCTGAAATGATGCAACACTTTTTTCTGATAGTTTGTGTAGAAAATTACTTACCACGGTTGTACATCCCACTTTTGAAATATTTCTGCAATTTTCTGTGGGCTTCTATCAGTCTTTTGTATCATTTCGAATATTTTAAATTGTTTTCGAAAATCCTTCAACTTTGGCGATAGCTTGTCCACATGGGAGAATAATATTTCCAAATATTTGAGACACTCGCGCCATTCCTGTCCCAATTCCAATTCATAATTAATTCGATCGTTTGTACTTTTATCTGAAAGCTGATCTAATTTGGCGAAAATTTGTCCATAATCAATTGTAGCTTTGATATATCTTTTTTTAGTTTCATCAAAAAGATCTTTTATAACTTCATTCAAACACAAGAAAGCATGTTTTAATCCAATTGTAGTGTACATTTTGTTATAAACATAAAACAAGGCTTGTCTATAAACAAATCTCACAGTTCTTTGGTGAAAATTTGCCTTGTAATTAAATAATTCCTTTACCAAATTTGGAATCTTTGATTTGGGAGATCCTCGACAAAATAGGAAATCCCTTTTGTACACATAAAGAATAACTTCCTTATTATTATTATTATTATCGAATAAATTTGCCAATAATGTATTATCTTCATTAAAGTGCCAAACTTTGTTGCTTTCTGGAAAAGCATCCTGAGTTCGAAAAAGAAAAAGCAAATCAGTTTTAGGTATTCCAATGTCTCTAGAAACCCAATCTTTAAGAGTACCAAAACAAGTACTGTCATTGATTTCGTAGGAATAATATTCTTGTTTGTATACTGAGAATACCTAAAAAAAAAATTACATTTTCTTAGATTCCCAAATAAGTTTCCTTGCTAGGTCCTAACTCATACCTTTATAACTTTTCGATCCAAAATAAACCTCAAATAATCAAATGGACTCAAATGATCAGTAAAGCCTCTATTCCCTGGGTCGATTTGCAAAACCCCCCTTAGCCAAGATTCAATGTATTCCTTAAAACATTTTGTAACAAAAGTTTCTTTTTTGATTGTATTGGAAGACATAATTGACCCAGATTTTAAAAAATAAATCCAAATAGCCTCTGCTGGTTTATCTTTAATTCTTGCAAATCGCTCAAATGGATTGAGCTCTGGTAAAAATGGTAGTGATCCACAAGTGATTTCAAAAACCATTACACCCATTGACCAATAATCTACTCTGCGATCATAGGTTTTTTTTTCAAAAATTTCAGGAGCTAAGTAATGTAAAGTTCCAACAAAACTAAGAGTATTGTCATTTAGCTCTTTCGCATAGCCCAAATCTATGATTTTATAAACCGTTTGACCTCTGCGATTATTACAATGTTGCAAAACAATATTATCAGGTTTAATATCGCGATGTGTGATGTTTCTTTTGTGAAGATAATCTAGGCCCGATGAAATATCTTCTAAAATATATCGGATATCAGTTTCTTGTAGGCCACATAATTTTATCGGTTCATTTGTGAGGTATCTTCTTAGGTTTCCTGTTAAAAAAGAAACTATTGTTTCAAATTACTTAAAACCTGCATTTTTTCACCTTTTGTACAATATTCCATGGAAAGCAAAGGCAACCTAGTAGGATTAAATTTGTCAAGCATTTCCGCCAACACAGTATCCAGACGTTTGAAGCCAATTACATTTTTATGGTTGGTGCTTTGTAGAAAATCAACTTCCATTTGCCATCTCTCTTTTTGCTTCTTGGATAAGCTGTCTGGCATTTGAAATTTGCACATTTTTATGGCTGTGAAGTCTCCTGTTACTATATTTCTCCATAGCATAACAGTTCCAAAAGATCCTGAACCAAGGACGGAAATTTGGACCCAGTCCTTAACTGACTGTGGATGGCTCATACTTATCTGATTTCGGTTGTACCCCTAATTCCTAATTCAGATTAGAAATTTAAACTGAAAAAGTTTATGTTAAATTTGTGTTACTTGATGGAAGCATTGACACTATGCCGTAAAATATTAAACAACGCCGAAAGTTAGGCATATTTAGCCAGAAGTTTTCACTTTAAAATTACCTATGCAAAAAGGAAGTTGGACAGTAATTAAATTTATGATAATGAAAGAATAATAACTTACTGGAAGTACTGTCTTTTCTTAATTTTGGTTAGGTACCACCGTCCACCAGCAAACAGCAAAGCTGAGGCTACATAGACAAATCAATCAATTAGCATTCTCATTCTCATCTAGACAATAATTGTTTGAATAATTATTCTCGTTCATGATATAAACTTGTCCAAAATAGGATATACTTACCTTGGTATCATATATGGTTGTCGGTTGTCGCTCACTGCAGACTGCAAAAATAATGCTATTAATTTTTTGTTTGCTAAGTTTGTTTTGTTTTTTAGGTTCTAACCTAACCTTGACTTGAGTGCCTAGGGCCAAGATTTGTAAGGGATACGGGTACGTTCGGTTGGTAGTACCGGTCGGAGTTAACCTTCTCGGTACCGGTACCGAGTGCGATTAGACAACGCTTGAGTGCGTTCGAGCAAAGAATGTTCGAGTATCGATAAAGTAGGTACGGTACATTCATGAGCAATAGTAGTGTTTGTTCGAGAATAGGTATGGAGGAACAATTTTTTGACTGAGCATGTCGCTCCTCTTCTAGAAGTGTTTTTAAATCCCTCAAGAGATTCCTTCCAATCCTTCCTATGGCCCTATCTATGGCCGTGAATGTAGAATGTAGAGCATGCAACAGGTTTTCGGAGATAGAGCACGCAACAGGTTTTCGGGTTTTCAGAAATATAAAAAGAATCTGAATTTGAAATTAGGGATGTTATCCTTGCGTTCGGTATTTTCCTTGCGTTCGGTATTTTGCTCGAAGAGCAGAGCGTGCAGAGCGGAGCCGTAACCACGTGACCAGCGAGCGAACAGAGCAGATGAACGCTGTATAAAAGTGCCAGAAATTTTAATAAACGAACGCGAATGAGGATACACCGAGTACACTTTTTGAATAAACGAACGGTAAAGTCAAGCTCGGAGAACTCAGACCAAAATAACGAACGCACGGTTTGCTCGAAGAGCAGAGCGTGCAGAGCGGAGCCATAATCACGTGACCAGCGAGCGCACGCCCACAGTTAACGCTCCTTGCGTTCGGTATTTTGCTCAAAGAGCAGAGCGTGCTGAGCGGAGCCGTAATCACATGACCAGCGAGCGAACAGAGCAGTTGAACGCTGTATAAAAGTGCCAGAAATTTTAATAAATGAACGCGAATGAGGCTGCACCGAGTACACTTTTCAAATAAACGAACGGTAAAGTCAAGCTCGGAGAACTCAGACCAAAATAACGAACGCACGGCTAGTATAAGAGGGCTCGAAATTTTAATAAACGATCCTGAATGAGCCTGCACCGAGTACACTTTTTAAATAAAAGAACGATAAATTTATGTTCGGAGAACTCGGATCAAAATACCGAACGCACGGTAAGTTACTTTAGCAAAGTTCCAAAGTTCCAAAAACCCTTTTCAGGTATCCATCACGTCACTTTGTAACCGGGTTAGAAAACGGTATGTCATTCTCTAACCGTTTTGTAACCCGGTTAGCTAAACCGGAGTCACGTGAAAAGAACTAAATTGTTTTAAGGTAGACGTAAGTCTTCGTCTCATTCAGAGACTTAAGAAGAATTGAGACGGCCAATCATTTCTTGTATTCCTTTCAAGAGTTTAGAACACTCGAGCTACTCGCTCCGGTGTTCGTCGACCCCGATTTGAAAGGAAGAGATGCGTTGTGCAACGAACACTTTTCGAAAGGAATAGGCGCATAACGCCCCGGAGCTGTTCCGGAGCTCCTCCTAGTCCTAGGTGTGAAAGAAATGCAACTGCGGCCAAACGAATTGAACAAAATGGCAAAATCTTTCCGGAACTATTCATTCGGAGTAATTCAGAGTCTCTTCCAAAGAGAACGCTTTTTAAATCCAATGGCTCCTTGGTGTCTATTATCCTGGGTACAACATCCCAATTCCCATCAGTTAGGGCGGGTGTTATAAAACTACTTTGAGAGTTAACTTAAAGTTAACTTCTTGAATTACATGTAATTCAAAAAGTTAACTTCAAGTTAACTGTCAAAGCAGTTTTATAATACCCGCCCTTACTCTATCCCCGAGAGTCAAATACCCAGGAATCATCTCCGATCAGAGAATGAAATTTCAGCACCACATATCCCATGCTCTATCTCGCACCTTCAGTGCACAGCAAAAACTTCACCCCCTCATCAGCCCTAACTCCTCGCTTTCGCCAGGTAATAAATTGTTGATATATAACAGGTCATACGAGCCATGGTAACATATGAGGCCCCTGTCTGGAACATAATCTCAACAACACAATGGATCAAACCAAGCAGCGCTTTTACGTCCTAATAAAGTCGTCATTGATGTCTTGACGTTAAAGCGCGACGTCAAATAGACGACTATACAACTTTTATTTTAACCAAAATGGAGAATCATTTCATAGTTGTAACGACGTCGCAGGTCGCGAGGCTTCACTAATTTTTAACTTATACGTCAGCATACACAACCAGATTTGAACGTTTACTATACGTCGTAAACCATGACTAAAACCTAAAAGAAATACCATACCAAATAAAGGACGTCCCAGGATTAATATATTGCACCAAATTCGAACTTTTGGTTTACTATAGGTGTTATTTTATTTCCCAACTCATCACATTAAAAACAAAATAGAATAGGTAACTATGGGCCGTGGGTAACTATAAGAATATTGGGGGACATAAAATAATATTGGCGCCTGGCCTTGTCAACAATAAAATACGTGAAACTAAATATTTAGCTCTTGTAGGCACAAAAATTTCAAACGAAGTCAACTTTTCTGTCAAATATATTTATGATATACACACAAAACAAACGGGCTCCTGTTTTGGTAATATTTTCCAAAACAAAATCTAATTTACATAATTTCTTATATAGTTCCGATGGGTCAAAAATATCTTTGGGCAAATCCGATTTACACAAAAATAAATAATTTTGACAAATTTCCTTATTAAGGATTGATTTTTCAGATATTATTTTATGCACCTTATCCTAACCTAATGCGTGTTTTCGTCATGAAAATGGACCTAATCTATATAAACATAGGACCATAGGTAATGAAATAGTACAAACATATAAACCTAGATTGACTAGAGGTCCCATCTGGTAAACTATCGTAACCAGTTCTTTAGGTGCTTCAACGCTCTCCTTTATTTGAAATTTTTCAGGAAATTGTAAATGTTTTATTTTTGATGTTGTTCAAAATCTTGAAATATTTCCTTTTAACCCAACATTTATTGAATCTTTTTCAATTTCCTCATTAAAAATTACAGGGTTCTCTTCCAATTTCCCTTCTTGCTCCATTTCCTTCATGTTTGGAATACATTTCTCTCTTTTACCTAAATCTAAAAAAAAAAATACTTCTGTAATATGTGGATGAGTATTTAAAGCTCCTGTTTTGTCCCATATCATATCAAAAATACAAAAGCAAATACTTATTCAAATTGTTAAAAACTTTTTATAGTAACGCCATATCTATTGTTTGCTTATGTTTTTATTTGACTGATCACAGTTTATTAACGAACGACGCAAAAAGTATGAAATGCTACACCAAATTTTACCTGTGTCCAATTTTAACGTTGGCCGGACGTTTTTCTAAGACCTCTATCTGACCTTATGATTTGTCGTGTCAGACGACGTTTAAAAAAACGTTTCAGAGGTTACAAGTATACAAGAGGACGACGGATTGACGTTATCTATTTAACGTTAAAACGGGTTTTCATTTATTACGTCAAAATTGAGCTAGATAAAGGTCCGATTTCTTGACCACATGTTATAAGGACGACGGCACGACGTGATTTTGACGAAAAATCATAGACGGACACTTATATGCACTGTATTCGCACTTCTGGCGACGTTGTATTTGGTTAATACGTAGTTGCAGGGACATGTACAGAGCTGGCGCAGGTAGGCGTAGCGGTGGGTCCCTTAAATACAAACCTTTTCCATTATCAGGGGCGTCGCTAATTGGTATATGATGATATTGACAATACAAATAAATTATCATATTGTACCTACACACCACTGTTCCCCATGCGTTTACCGGGGGTAGGGTTTACAGTTCAGTTTACGCCCCAACCATTTCCGAATTTTGTCTAGTGCGCAAATTGCTTTTTCGCCACCTTATGTTGCGGGGCCTGTATGTGCTACTTGGGTTCCAAAACCGCATCCTGACGGGAGTCCTGTCGGAGTCCAGGTACGCCAGAATAAGGGACATGCATGCGCAAGCATACATTCCTTATATGTCCGACTACCTGGACGAAATCAGCGACAAATTTTATCGTCATCAAATTCACGGATCCCCTCTCACACGCAGCCTAACTGCAACAAAATATGATCCAGACAACCCCATAGTTCGCGGACAGCCTTAAAAGAATTTACTCATCTATTTTGAACCCCCATGAAAACCTTCCCCCATCCCAGCATTCCCAGCTAACCACACACCCAATAAAATAAAACAACCCATCCACCACAGCTAAAATCCAATCGTCGAGACAAAATTAGACAAGGAAGATTTGGCGCCAATAGCCTTAGTCTAAAGCAGGAGACTGGCAAATCCCATCATAAAGTCTAATTTCTATTCTCAGTTCTTCGGAAAATTCCAACTAGCCAGCGAACTTAGTGTGTAGCAAACTCCTCTTTCGCTGACTATGAGGAAACGCACTTTTCTAATTAACCATCAGACACCCCCAATTCCAACAATTATAGGCACAAATTGCCCAATTTAGCTGAAAAATGCTCATCCCAATCCCGGTAAATTCTTGCACCCAATCCCCCCAACCCTTATTCTCTGACACCCCTTAAAACACCTACCCCTAGAGCTCAGCTTTTGCGGTTGAGAGCGCGTCCCTTGGACCAAACCGCCCAATAAGGGCACACATTTTTTGTTTTCTTTTCTTTTCTCTTATATTATAATAGTCAATGAAAAGTGGGGTTTTTGATTAACTTTTTCCCACAGAACGGGCGCTGCGCCCTCTGCAACGCCTACTCCAGAATCTTCCCATATCTTCTGGGTAGGCCCAGTATAACGGCCCAATGCGTGCCATTTTGCATGGTAGGTTAATTATTGTTAGCTACCCTATATAGGATCATATAAACAACGTATTAGGGAAAGGGTTTTTTAAACTCTTGAAAGGAATACAACTAATGGAAGCACCATTGCCCGTTTCAAACCTGTTTTAATAAACCAATGTCAAAAAAGTGGACGCGAGAAAACGGCTCAAGAAACGTTGTGAATAAGTTTCAAGCAAGGATAGGACAGGGGCTTTCTGGTCAGAACATCGACCGTGCTGAAAAATGCCCAAACAGCGCGCTAGGCGTGTCACAAAAAATTATTAATAATAATTATTATATAAGATATTTGTGAGAAGCTATACCAGTATGAACCGTTAAAACCGGAATTATCGGTCAGCATCGAATCAAAATATTTCTCTTAGAACCGGAACCGATATTTGTCATGACGCTGTGGACCAGAACAGGAACGGAACCGATATTTCATTTCGGTCTGGGTCTCTGGTGATTATTCTAAGTTCTAAGAGTTGGAAAGAGTTAATTAGTGAAGTAATTAGTGTCAGAGTGTGTATTTATTGATGTTGTTTATTATCGCCTATGTTATAGGATTATTCCTGTGATGATCTGATCTCAAAAATCATCCCGACTCACAGGAATAATCCTGTAACATAGGCGATAATAAACAAGATTAATAAATACATATATTTAAACTTGTATTTTAATAATGATCGTTTTATCCGAGCTTGGTTTTCTGCACTAAATGTAATTATTTTTATCTTAAATTATCGAATATTTACACGCAATCTTGGTGGCCGTGGTCTATTCGGCGTCGGAGGCGCGCGAAGCGATGGCTGTGATATCGTTCGGCATCTTTCGGAGCTCCGTCTGTCTGCTCCCCAGACTCTTGTCAATAATCATGGCAGACACAACATAAGGGACGTGTTGACAAGCGAGAAGAACGTCGTACCACAATTCATCAGCCCCCCAACGTTCGACCCCGAAAAAGAAGTAGTAGGAGCAGCAACCCTGTGGTTCAGAAATATAAAGGAAACACAACAAGATGAGACGAAATCCGCGACGCGTTTACCGAGGAATTTGAGGACAAAAGCTGAACGAACGAAAGCAGGCAAAGGACGAAATAACCAGGAATTACTTCCACGTACGACCTCCAGGTACTTTATCAAGAATATAACTCCCCAATCAATTTTCAGGACTTTAAAACGATTTTCCAACAAGGACTCAATAAGGACGCCAACTATCATTATTATTGGTTGACGAGCTTCCCTAATGCACCCTCTACGAACATGGAGGAACTTAAACAAATTATTGTTAACAATGGACAACGCCCCATGTCAGCTTAAACCTGAAAAAGAAACAGAGGTCGCCCAACCCAAGCAAAATTGGCCTAGCTCATCAAGATTCAACCCCCGCTACAACAACAACCGACAGCAGCCCGACTAGCCCGACCCAAATATCGTGATAACTCAAGAACCACTGATAACAGGCCAAAATGTTACAATTGTGGGAAGCCAGGGCATTACGCAGCGACTTGCTACAGCCAAAAACCGCACCCAAATGCCAAGGGGTGGCAAATAGGGCGCCTTAGTGTTAGACGCCCCGAAATAAAAACCAGTCGGCCACACAACGGTCCCATTTTGATGAAGACCTGTCCGGGGGGAAGGCAGAGCGGCCAAGAGTCATCTAAAAGTTGCGTACAGACTGGGCCAACGAATGAGATTCGGCGATGGATACCGAATGTTCCGTCCACACCGCATTCGCCGATTTTCTCTATTTCTTTTGATGTTACCGACCCTCTACGGGTTGCGAGGGAACGCCAACGAATCTTCGTTGGTCTTCGTTAAACCGTCCACACAGAACAAAAATTCTTGGCCCGGTCTGTACGCACCTTAACCGCTGCCGAACCAGAAGAATTTCGGGGTGGTAACCCTAAGGAAACAAAAAATATTTATATCAACTAAAAATATAGTTATAATACATACCCGCGGCAGGTCGGGATACCGTCTTCGAACAATAGACATAACCCGCTGCCTAAGGCGTGTTATGTCGCACCACATCCCAGGAGTCGCATTAACCCCTTTTGGTTCGCATCTCTCTCCTCAGGGTCACCTTACCCAAGAGAGTCTTGGAGCAATCCCGTTTAGAGCATCGCGGCTAAATACGTGCGGTAACCAGTTGCACCCCTGTATAGACACATACAGCCCCAAACCTAGAGTCATGTGGCATACCTGCGAAGTATCCCTTTGGTAATGTACTCACTAAGAAGCAACACACATAAGTGCCTTTTGTAGTTGTGTTTTCCTGAAGAGCAACCCCCAACCCCAGGTCCTACCCACATTAGCCACGAAGCATGTGACAATATTATAGCATTCACCTTACTGATTCAAGTTATAGTTCAACAAAACATTACACAAACAAAAAAGTATATTTTATGCATTGGATAAGTTGATAAAAAGAACCCTCAGTTTTGAAGAAAAAAACATACTCAGTTTCTGTGGCCCACACAGAAACGCCTATCCCACAAAATATGAGACCAAGCAGATATTTCTCAGAGAGAAGCTTGTCAACCAAAACTCTTGTCTATCATCTGCATCAGCTGGGCTATCAGCAACAAAAACTTCACACAAACTACGCCCAGTAGTTAAAACATGCCACCAAGCATAAATGAAATTAGAATATATACTATAGGCCCGACTTTCCAATTTTAAATACCTAAAACTCAACTATAACCAGTAAGATTTAAATAGCTTCAGTCAGAGTCAATTAAGTTTTCTACAATCCTTTTATAAGCATTTAAAATATTGATTTTATTTAATTTTGTGTTCGGTTTATTTTTTGCTCAGTAATTCATTTATAATCCAATGAAGCAACATTGACTGTTGGTAGCTTTATTGGGAGTAGAAAAAAATCTATGAAAAATTAATTATTTTATTGAATACTGAAAATAGAAAAATAAAGTCTAAGAGTAGTAATGATGAATACATAAAAAAAATCAAATAAAAAAGCTCAAACCACATACTCATTTGAGCATAAAATTGAATGTGGACTCACAAGACAATCGGTGTGAATGTTTTATATTTGTTGCCTTGCCTTGAAGACCTCAAAGCAGAGGCGTGCCTCCACATTCCTGCTCAAATATATTTTCTCACATCTACGATTAACCAAAACAAACTGCTACCTGTGGGACAAGAAAGCCTTTTATGAAAGATAAATTATTGAATTAAATAGATATTATGCTCAAATGAGCAGGGCGCGTTACTCTACTTATCAACTTATTTTCTAACATCCTACATTAAACAAAACAAACTGCTACATGCAGGATCAGAAAATCCTTTATAGGAGAACAATTATTGCCATTAGGGGCTCATTGGGATAGTAACGGGAACTTCAGTCAGGTCGTCATCACTGTCTTCAGCTTCAGCGTATTCAATCTTTCTTTTTTTGCAAGAAGGACCTTCTTGAGGATCTTCAGAATTAATATCGATCTGTGAAATGCCAACTTTAACCGGATCCTTTTCAGGGACAGAAGTAGTGTCTTCTTTGCCTAGATTAGTTGAAGATAAAAAACGTATGGATTGATTATATTCATGGTGTCAAATAATAATATTTTATCCTCAATATATTTTTTTATAAACACTGAAATCTGATCAGATGAGAATGGGCCTAACTTACTATTTTTAACTTCTTCCTCCTTAGCTTTCAAGTCCTCAGGATTGGCCACAACTTTGAATATAGGATCATCTTTTTCCAGTGGATTGTACTGATTAATAGCCACAGTTAGACTATAATTTTGGACAAAATCATCACATTTTAAAATACTTCCGTCTACAATGCCAAGTTCGGAGAGAGATTTGGAATTATTCACCTAAAATAATGGTCAAAATAAAATACATATAAGTAGAGAAAGGAATAACTCATAAAAGCATACCTCAGTTTCTCCTTCTTCAGAAGAAATAACTACAACTCCTTTACCATCCAAAACCACATCTGGGGCGATCATATTCAAATGTTTTTTGAGAACTTCAGATTCAAATTCTAAAACTGTCATTTTTTCCACTGTAACGAAAACGTTCACAAACGGTTCTGGACTGCATACATAACAATTCGGATTGGCCTGGAAACTTTTTATTTAGAAAACAGAATACCAAAACCAAGACTAATATATATGTACTTTATACCTTTGGTAGGGTTGTATCTGCAGCCAAAATATTCCTAGAATGAATTGATTTTGGTCTCAAATAGACAAAATTGCATTTTTCGTATTGTTCAACAAGTAATCGGAAAGCGAAGAGAACAACTAGGCCAGCGGTAATCGCGTTGGCAGTAGCTATAGCTGGAATAATATTGCCGGCGATCGCTAAAAAGTCAACAATCAAAACAATACAAATTGGCGTATAATAACTATTATTACATTTGATATCAAACCGTGATTTGGGTTCGATAGAAAAAATTTGAGCTCGTATATTAGTACACGCAGCTACAAAATCTACAGCTATGTTGTCATCTTTATCCCAAACCAGGTGATTCTTGTTATCTAGCTGCTGCTTTAGAGTGGCTACGCTGTCTCTAAACATCTGTAAATATAGGTTATAAAATATGTATTTTGCATAAAATTGAACTAATATATATTTTCAGATACCAGATGACAATCAAGACATTGTTTACAAATAATGTGGGATATAATGGGGGATGAAATATTTCAAACTGCACCAATTTTTTTGTTACCATTGTCGAGATACAGCTGCGCCATACCCTGATCCGGAACCCTGTATATTGAAGAAAGAAATAGTGAAAATCATCTAACCTGTACATATTCGGCAATAGGCAACAATTGCATTTCTCGAATTGTTACATTGTCTTGTACTTTTTCTTGTTTGGTCATTTTTTCAGCATCCTTGTATAAAAGTGGTTTAGGTGCGGTACGTGTCTTCCACAAATTTGCTTTGAAAAAAATAATTATTAATAAAATAATAAAAATTTATTGGCAATATACATAACAATAACAGTATGATTCACAGTAATATTATAGCAAATAATTTCTTATTGTGGAACCTAGATATGTTATGAGTATGCCTGCATGGGTCACCTTTCGTATAAGTGGTTAATAATAATAGATGATACATACAAAATTTTGGCTCAGCAGCACCCTAATCCATTAGAGATTAGGGCAGATTCAAAGAATCTGTGAACATTGAATTATCATATAGGTACATATCCCTAAATATATTGATTTTGAAAACAGGGCCGATCCTAGGGTGTCGGCCGCCCGCGTGCAAGCAACAATTGTGCCGCCTTGGTGGTGGTAGCCCGCAGCAGGCGCCGCCGGAGTGAGTAGTGATCAATAATGACAGATTCAATAGGTACTATCTTAAAACTAAGTAGGGCCTGGGCTTGGGCCTAGGTACGAAATTAGAAAATAAGACCCAGTGGTAAAACCAAGATACCCTAGTCCCTAGTCGTAATTAATACTTACCTACACAACATACCCACCTGAACTTGGGATTGGGAACACAAAAATTGGTTAAATTGTTAGCGAACTATTCACCTAGTGCTATTGGACAGTTGATATTTATTCTTGCAGATTCAGAGAATATACAAAAATTTGCCATTTAATGAGGGATGTATAAAGAGTAAAAACATTAAGAAGCGATCAAACGAACTGTGCACTAAATTTAATATTTAGGGGGGTTTTCAGTGTTTTTCAGTGTCCAGCTTATTTCTTTATCAGAAGTAGTTTTATTTCGAGAAATTCGTGAAAAGTTTCACTGGAATCTTGAATGACAGAATTATAAGCGGCCTGCGGCCGCCCCTTGATTTGGCCGCCCGCGTGCGGGACACGCGCTGCACACCTGCTAGGATCGGCCCTGTTTGAAAACTGTTTCATGCGTATTTTCTTTACAACTCTTATTGAATACTCTAATTCTAGAAATTTCTTTAATTTTCAGTGACAACAGATTGTAAAATTTAGAAGCACAATTATGCAGAAACTTAAAAATTAATAACTTTTAACTCTGGTTTTTATTTTTTGTGTTACATACCCTTTTTTTTTTTAAATAATAAATTATTTCAGACTTCAGACTACATAAAAAATATATAATTACAATACGATACTTGCATCAATTTTTTTATCGCTCATTTCGTTAGTCGATGAAAAATAAGTCGACCCGTGTTTTTTCTTTCTCTTCTTAGTCAAAACTTGACGGAGATACAACGCTATGAAATTTGCCTATGACGTGACTTATCATATAACTTTATGACGTCGCACATGCGCAGTATATCTCTATATACAAAGCTTAATATTTGTATAGCTTCCAGAATAATTGTACTAGGACAAAAAAAACACGCATCGATTTTTTTTGATTACCCACAGTCTGCAATAAACAATAACCAATTTAATTTTTCATGCAAGTATAGTCGCCGCCACAGATATTCGAGATTCCTACAAAAAATGATTTCTTAGTCGGCGATGCCCGGATAAAAAAAAACTCTACAGATAAGGATTGATAATAAATTTAGTCCAAGAGCATCAATTAAATTCATTTTGCGTATAGGATTATTTTATTATTGTTCTGGAGTCGATTAGGTACTTAATTTCTTGCATTAAATATTTGAAAGATCTTTTAAGAAAATTGAAAAATAATTTCAAACATTATTTACAACAATTTAAACAGAATAATTTCAAACCAATATCTTGTACTCATTTGGTTCCTTACATGTGCTGCCTGACTAAATGCAGGCCGACTGATAATAATATAAACATACTTTTTTGTACAAATCTCGAATATCTCTGGCGGATACTATACCCTATTATATTAGGTATATCATGGCATTTAATAATACTTATATTAAAGTTCATAAATAGAAATTTTCAATTTCTGCTTCTTATAAGTGTTTCTTCAAGTTATTGCACATCTTCTCTGGTCCACCATTAAGTATAGTCTAGTCTGTGGTATACTGTTGTAGCTCTGGATACTTCTAAAGATCGGAGAGTCCTGTCCTTTTCTGGTTCTTGCGAAATTGTTTTTCAACATTTTTTTGTTTCTGGTATTGTAAGTATGGTCATCTTGATTTGTACTTAGTACAGTTCTCGATTTAAGTAGCCCTTTTTGTAGCAAATATACTAATTCAGGTTGCTCAAAACATTTAATTTCATTTATTCTCAAAAAGGGATATGTTTTGTTAATGCGGTAAAGAGAAAATTACTTTTATAGCTTCATTTTGCATTCTTTGCAACTTATTCATGAGATAAGTACTGGCGCTTCCCCAACATGGTATAAGGTATCTCAGGTGTAGTTCGAATGCTATTATACAGCAGATATCTGGCTCTATTATTTAATTGATGTGAACATCTTCTAGCTGCTCCTATAACAGGCGTAATTTTTTAAATTATATTATTTATGTGTGCTGTCCAGTTTAATTCATTTGATATGATTAGTCCAAGATATTTGTATTCAGTCACTTCTCTCAGCAATATGTTAATGTTCATTTTACAAGTTTTTTTCCAATTTTATTTATAACTAGCTAATGACCCGCTGCGTTGCCAGCGTGAAACTACATTTTGAAATAATACACTTCTTTTCAAATTTTGTTGTTGATTTTCTATTTAAATTTTTTATTTAATCCGATATCAGAGTCGTTTGCCAGTGAATTCAGTGACGCATTTTAAGCACTCCAGAGCTGCTCTAGAGCGCCCCGGGCTGTTTATAGGCGTTCCAGTGTATCAGAGTTTTGCGCAACCGAACTTTTTTTCGGGATAAAAAATAGCCTATCACTCTCCTCTATAGCCGATTCGATTGACCGGATTAGATCGATCTGGTTCAATTTAAGTGAACCACACTGTGTTCAATTGAGGCTGGATCAGTGTACCCTCATCAACAAAAAAAATGATCTAGATCAGAAGAAGTTCACCTAAATTGAACCCAAATCGATCTAATCTGGGTCAATCGAATTCAGCTTATATAGAGATACATGGTATTAATTCAAGATCGGTCCAGCCGCTCTCGAATTCAAAAAATAATAAAGTTACGTCGGTTGAATGCAAGCCTAAATAAATGAAATATGGCAACGTTGTTTCATGCTGTCAAAAAAAGTTGGGTTATGTTGTTATGTAATGTGAATGAGTTTGTTTACAATTAAATTAATAATTAATTCAAAATTAATTTCTTTTCCCGAGATGCGTAACCTATCCACAAACCTTCCTTGGGATGGCCATAACAACCTACCAAAGTTTCATCGTAATCGGATAAGTGGTGTAGGAGCGCATATCCGGATACCCCTCGAACTTTGATTTTTATATATATAGATCATAGATCATATAAACGGGTTTTTCTACATATATACTTAGCCTGTTGTAGCTTAGCCAGTCGTAATACTTTATAAGATCACCATTTATATCTTTACATCTTCAACTTGCTTTCACCACTGCAGACAAGGACTGAATCATCCGCAAACATGAAATATTTCGAAGTTAGATTCACAAAATTCAGACTATGGATATAGTAGATACTGTAACGGTCCCAGTACGGAGCCCTTTACTACTCCAACACTAACTTTCAGTTCACAACTCCTATGATTATTTAAATAAGTACATTGCTTTCTATTTGTTGAATAGCTTTTCATAAGATCATAACACATAACCCGACATCCCATTTTACACAGTTTATTCAATACAAGATCTATATCCACAGTATCAAATGCCTTTTTCAAGTCCACGAACACAGCAACAACATAGGTAGTTGTTTTTGTCTATTTGTCCCGAAATGTAATCCAGAAAATCTACTATCGCGCCTAAGGTACTGCTCTTTTTGAAGAAACTATACTGACTCTCATCAGAATGGAATGTCCTTTTAATGAAATTACACAATCTAGTTTTAATAAATTTTTCCACAATCTTTGAGAATGAACTGAGCAGAGAGATTGTTCTGTAGTTGTTTGTCATGTTGAGCCCCTTTTTTGTAGATTGGTATTATTTTAGCAGTTTTTAGTCCCTCTGTGTAGATACCACTTTCTGATATTTCGTTAGTTATAGTTATATCCACAATTTTGTTTCCAATGACACCAAATAGTGAAACCAAGTCTTTTTTTAATAGGTTGTCCAATCCAGGTGCATAGTTGTTTTTCATTTCGAACAATATATTCTTAATTTCAGGCAAATTTGTTGGTTGTAACTTTTGTGTAAATAACTTTATGGTCCAATATGGTGATCCTCCAAAAATAATGTACAATTTAGGTTTTTGTTTGTTGCTATATGGTCCAAGATCGAAGCTGCTTGTGCATCGGTACAAGTTGCATTGTCTGGTTTTAATATATTATGGAATTGAAAACCATTCATTTCCACAATGCTTTTATAGTCCTTTACTGTTTGTATGTCCTTCAATAGGTCCAGATTTATATCACCTATCAATATACAGTGCCTTTGCTGTTTCTCCAGTAAATTATCTAACTCTGCGACAAATAAATCGCTCTTGTTATTTGGCGGTCTATACAGACCAAAAATTTATAGCTTCTGCTCAGGTAAATAAAGCGATATTATATTGCATTCACCAAAGTTATACAAAGATGCTTCATTTTTTACATAGTTTATTCCATCCCTTATATGTATAAATGGATGCTACTCTCCCGCGAGTTTCTCTGCAGTCCTGTATCGCACTATATGACTATAGGTTAAAATACTGCTTTTTGTTGGCGTAGATCCAGTCAAAATTATAAAATGAATGGTTTCTGCTCGGGTTTCTGGGCAATTAAGAACAATATTACGCAATTCATCAAGTTTATTTCTTATACTTCTGATGTTCACCTAAAGTATATTTGAATCTTCTTTGGTAGCCATTTTTCTAATGAAAGTGCTTTATGTACTCAACCATCACAACATCGAACATACATACAATTTTCAATTTATAATTTGAGGTCTGCTTCGCTTCTTATCCTTTTAGGTGGATCATCCTCACTTGATCTCAAGTAGATTTTTCCCATTTGTGACATAGGCTGATTATAATTTGTTTATGCATTTGAATCCCACGCCATTTTGAACAGCAATAATTGATTTTGGCGATTTAAGTCATCATTGAAATAAATATTTTTATCTATTCCCCCTAAGCCACATTCTTTCACCTTTAAGCCCTTAAGTTGCTTAATCCTTTTTATAATCAATTTTTTTAATGTCTTGGTTTCTACACCCAATTATGATTGGCGCATCATCTTTATTGTTAATATTATACACATCCTGAGTGTCGTTGTCAGTTACTTGTACTTTGTACTTTCATTGTCTTAAGCACTTTTTCCACTACGATTTTAGTGTCTTCTTGTTGTTCAGGGATGCCGGTTACCACAAGGTTATTTTGTTTTTCCATTTGTTCTCTGATGTTCATTTTATCTTCAATGGATTTGATTCTTTGTTTTAACATGCCATTTTTTTCTTCCTTCAAGAGTTTTATTTCATCCAGCATCTTGTCTACGGCGTTCTTTTTGTTGTCAAAACCATCAGACATATTATGACATATACTGGACTGATTTTTTAACTTCACTCCAAATATTCTGTAAACAGCTCTTTCACTATGCTCTTGATCATTTTTTCATCCATCTCTTGGAGTTACGGTTTTCTTCACTTATAACATCACTTTTTTGGCGAGTTCGACAACAAACAACTTTATTTTCTTTATTTAGAACTTTTGCCTGTGCCACACAACTGGGGTGGTAGTCTGAGTTACATACTTCACAACTATAAGAAAAACTCACGAATTTTTTACAATGTTTGCACTTTTTTCTATTTCCTTCCACTTGTTTACATCAGCCATAACATAATCTATCTACACTACACAAGTTACAAGTCATTTTTATTTTTTCATTTTTGCACATATAAATGCCAGCGGACAAAATATAAAGTGTTGAACATTGAAAATATCTTCGTTATATAAGTAAGTGTTTGGTGGGGTACAATTTATTGTTGAAGATATCCCTCAATAAATAATTTTGAACAACTTGTAGGGGTATTATTGTTGTTTTGTGAGCGGCACCCCATGCTGTATTACCATAATGTAATAATGATTTAGCTAGTGATTTAAAGATGAACAGGGTGTTTCAAATTTCAAGGCCACATCATTGGGATCTGGGAAATGCTGAGAGATACAGGGTTGGTTAAATTGAGGCAACGTTGCGTAATTTGATGCTTAACAAAATGCCGCCGAGAAGGCCGGTTTTATATTTAGGATATTAGTGTTATGGCAATCATCATAAAGTTAATTATCTTCAAATATCATGGACCTGGATTTTTTTTCATTATTTGAATTACTTATTTTTTCTAAGAAATATGACGTATTATATGTATGTTACAATTTTATTGTTCTGACATCAGAAATTGATTAAAAAAAAAAAAACTTAATACTGTCCTGTTTCTAACAAAAATTAATAATTTATTTTACCAAGAGCATTTTTTCTTAGCAATGAATCTTATTAATTTTAGTATGTGTCGTTTAAATCAATAATAATCAGATATAGGTAGTTTGTTATTACCTGCATACTATATATTTAAATTTTCTACAATATGTATACACATTTTTGAACATTATTTTCTACCAAGTATTTTAAATGCCATCAAGGTACTTGATTTGTTCAATAAATAGGTGGTAAAATAATTTATTAATCGTAAAATGTTCTTAATCGGAATCAATTTGGTTTTCAAAGTTCTAGGGAGACGAATGATGCCATTTTCTCATTCTTGGAAAAAAATATACCTCAGCCTGAATGATCGAGAGGTGGCTGTAGCGGTGTTTTGTGATTTCTCGAAAGCTTTCGATTGCGTAAATCGAGGCGTAAATCATGAAATATTGCTGCAGAGACTAAGTCATTATGGCATCCGTGGGACACCTTTGGACTCGTTTGGGTCAATGCTTTCGGGTAGATGCCAGTATGTCAGAGTGAATGGGGTTGATTCTGATACGGCTGAAATTATCCATGGTGTGCCGCAGGGGTCTGTATTGGGACTTATTCTTTTCCTACTCTACATCAATGACCCACTATCCCTTGCAATTTCGGGAGAATTCATGGCTTTCGCAGACGATGCTACCAGTCTGTGGACTTCAAAGACTCTAGACAATTTTCAGACAACCATTGAAAAGGATCTCTCGGAAATAAAGAGGCGGTGCGACACAAATAAATTGTGTTTTAAGGTACAAAAATGCCTACTTTTAAGCGCTCTTCAACTGACATCAGACTAGAAAGCAAATCCCTGGGAAATATAACTGTACAATTTCTTGGGTTACACATTGACACACAGCTGTTTGACTGCCATATTGACCATTTAAATACAAAAAATTAGCATGCGGATGTTACATTATTAGGACTGTAGTACAGGAACTTGGCAAAAAAGTAGCCAAAGCAGCTTGTTATCCACTTCTGGAATCAAACATCAGATACAGGATAGCTTTCTAGGGTTACTCTACGCAAAAATCTATACACCCAGTATTTGTGCTACAGAAAAGGGCCCTATGTTATCTTTGTAAAGAAGGCTGTAGAGAAACTTGCCAACCGCTTTTTGTACAGAAGGAAATATTGATGGTGCCTTGCATTTTTATTCTTGAGTAAGTTTCTCGGATTTATAAAAAGGAACTATAGTCTAATGCAAAACCACCTACTGCTGCCAATACCAAAGTTTTCCTTTACAAGAAGCTCAATAAGCATAAAATTACGCAACTTTGCCCTAATTTAACCAACCTTGTATCTCTCACCGTTTACGAGATCCCAATGATGTGGCTTGAATTTGAAACACCTTGTACAATAAATCAATAATTCACTTACCCATTTTCAATAAATAATTAATATCATCAAAAAAGAACTTATTGAACAACTTTTCAGGATCATAATCAATTTCTTTTATCCATTCCCTAGTGGATAATCTTTTGACATTCCCAGTATCGGTTTCACTGATTTGCCCTTCAACCTTAGCTTCCGGATCTTCCATGTCAGGAGATACATCTTGATCAGGGTCTTCTTCACCAAATAGTTGACTAAAATTATTTTAATTGTATTTTTTTGAACTGAAAAAAATATATCTGCATACTTGAATAAATGCTTAGACCATACAATACAATGTACTGGTTCAGAGGGAGTGTTTCTGATAGTACAACCAGGAAACGTTTTTTCTGTTGCTTTTGGCTGGCACTCGTAACATTGAGTAATACCTTAAATATCAAAAAAATAAATAAATCACAAAAAACACCCAGATAATGTATAATGTTTCAACCTTTTTTAATAAATTCCACTTGTCCAGAATAGCCAGCAGTACCAGACTCAATCAAAGGTAAATCAGCGGCCAAGCACAATCTGTTGACATGATTTCTAGCAGTTCTGTTGTCGAGGGCGTTCAATACAAGGTTGAATTTTCTGAAGAAATTAAGCCCATAATCCGAGCTAAAACAAAGGAATCAAGAAATTGCTTAGGAATGGCAAATTATATAAACATGTAGATAATGCTACCTTAAAATACTGTCATGATAAGCCTTGATCTGAATATCAGGACTATGAGCTAAAATACTCTCTCTAGCCACAATAGCTTTTGGTTTTCCAACATGCTCTTTTCTGAAGAGAAATTGACGATTTAAGTTGCTGACGTCGATGGTGTCCAGATCAATCTGAAATAAAAATGACTCACTAGTGGATCACAAAAACCTGTAGGTATAATTTTTAATCACAGCTGCTGTGACTTATTAGTGGAGAAGGATCTAACTAATAGAAAATATCAGGGAAGCCAAAAAAGTTATACTTGTTGGACAAATTCATTTGGTGGGAAATGGCCCCCATCAAAGACAATACTACTACGAACAGACTGCTGTTCGCATGTAAAATAATTGAGGCCTGAAAATGAAGCTGTTGATCTCAGACGGCTTCTTTTTTCACAGGTGACCAAAAGATGGCTCTGAGAGATCAAATATTTCAGAAGAGTGCTGTAATTTTGTTTAATTTTTCCTGTGACTTCGGAATATTGATTTTGCGGTGTTGTCAAATATGTTTTCGAATACTGAAACTTTATATATTAAATTTAACTATGCTGTTGACTGGTAAAAATAACATGAATGTGTATTGTGGAATTTCTAAGTCCGAAAAGATGTAGGTACCTTCTTGAATGGTTTTTTGCTTATAATTTATTTTTGAAAATTAAAATCAGTTGAATAGTTTCCTTTAAAAATACTTAATAATTTTATTTGCGCCCATTACCTATGTAATTCAGATATGCAAGTCGCGAAAACCATTTTTGCACGAAATTTTCAAACAATCGCGTTTTAACTTTTATTACTTTTTAAGTCAGTTTTTGAAGCATTGGGTGAAATAGGCCTGTGGCTCACCCCTATAACTTTTTTATTTTTCAAGATAAACAAATGAAATTTGGTACGTTGATATTTCACACGAATACAGATTGATTGACGTATACAATTATTTTCTGTCACCTCCGGTTTAACAGGAAATCACTATAACTTCCTTATTTTAAATGGGTCACCCGGTATATTTTTGCTTAGTTCGATAGAAAATGACATTCCGAATACAATAACACCCCATTTTTGACTTTTTAAGTTTTGAGCTTCAATTTACTAATTTTTTTTAAATTCCAATCTAGAGTGCCATGAGCTAGATAAAACGGAAGATTTCGGATCAAGTAATCGAGGAAAAAAAGATGTGATTCCCTATTACTTTTTATAGCTTCTACAGGCTCGTTTGAAATTTGCAAAATCGTATTTATGGTCTTTTAACAAATTTTTTTCAAATGGAATGAAGGTGGCTCATCAGTAGAGCTGGAAAGAGTATTTTTTTACGAACAATTTGATACCACACAGTCGATATTTCGGTTGAGTATTTCTGGAAAATCCACAGTAAATAATTATTTATTTTTCCATAAGAGCATCAAGTTCTTGAAAATAGTTCGTGTGATGCTTCAAGCTTCCAGTAAGCAGTAAGCGAGGAGGGGAGGTTGTCTGATAATGGCAAACAGATGACTTCATCAGAAAATTGTAGTTGAAAAAGTAGTTAAATTTTTTACTGCTACTAAGTAGTTAGTAATCTTAACTACATTTTCTAAGAAGTAGTTTAACTACAAAGTAGTTAAACTACTTTTTCTACAAACGTCACTAAAAGGGTAATTTTTAACGGATGCTGTCAGTGTCTAAAATGGCATTTTATGACACTGGTGTTAAAAGTGATTACTTTTAGCACTTTAAGTGCGTTTATAGAAAAAATAGTGTATGATATTCGTGCTAAAAATGATTTTATTTTATTTAAAATGACCAAAAACTTCCCTTCCCTCACAAAATAAAATGTCACTTTTAGCACTTATATCATAAATAACTATTTTATACAAAGTAGTTAGTAGTTATACTTTACTACTTTTTTCAAGTAATCTGCCCAGCTCGGGCTATAGCAGATAGAAAGTGGCAGATAGGTCACACAAGCAACATCTGAAAAAAAAAGTCACAAGTCAACCTTAAACGGAAAATTATTTCTTGAGTTATTAGGAGAGATGCGAAATTCTCTAAGTTCAAACCAGTTTTGGTGTGTGCATAATGCCACTGTAAATTGTGCGTCTTTGATATGTTCTGTGGTCTTTGATGGTATGCGTATATTAAAAAAGTTACTTCAAGATTCTATTTTAAAGATGTCAGAAGTAGGTAATAATTTTATAATTTCTTGGAAATGGATTTTTTCATATGTGTATTTCATTTAAAAAATTGTTTTGGAATCTTTCCAATTTTTCTTTTGATAGATTATAAAACGGTGCAATGCACATATTCTAATTGAACTGTGGTTTTGGAATAGGGGATTGGTGGAACAGTTGAAACAGATTGAATGCAGTTTGAAGCTTTTGATACGTCAGGTTTCGTTTGCATATTGTTTCTGGCAAAAGAAGTACTAGGAAACTCTGTGGGAAATGATGTCGAGTTACCAGTTTTGGAAAAGGTGATTCGAGAAACAAATTTATATAAATCAGAATTATCCTTACAATTTGAAGATTTTGTTGCTTTTGATAATCCGGTTATTGACAATATGCGAAAAGAAAGTCTAAAGTATTTAGCAGTTGGATTTAAGTATTATTCAATCTATAAGACAAGGTATAAACTTGTACCATGCAGATAAAAACTGAATGAATTTGAAATGTATCTGCATTAAAAAGGGGCTGAACTGCAAAGTATTTCACGCACGAGTTGCAAACAATATTTTTTCTACAACTCCATTTAAATATCAATGATTCGAAGCCAAAATTGCATTAATAATCAAAGGCAGGTGAATTTTAATTATTTTTGGTTTCCTGTCAGGTGCCAGGTATTTGTTACATGTGTGTGCGAACTAGGCATTTCGCACAATTAATATTAATAATTACTTTATTGAATGTATAAATTATTCACAATATTTAACATATCTATAATATTTTTAGTTAAGTTAACAAATACAATTGCTATACATTACAATGCAATTGATCTTGATTCACTATTCACTTCACAGAAATTAAAGTTGCAACACCTAGATGATTAGTCATCTGTATGTATTGCGTTCAGTAGAAAAACTGGTAACTATGTATGTATATAGCTTCAAAAAACGGCCAAAAAAAAGATCACAAACTATATTTATATAATGGCAACTATCTAACATGGACAGTGTAAGCTATCCTAGAAAAGAGCTTCAAATTTATTCCAATTTGTATCAACATACTTTTTACATTCATTCCTAAATATCTTAATTCTATTTATGCTTCTAATTTCTGTTGGTAAAATATTATAACACTTAGGTGCTAGCAATTTATATGCTTATATTTCTATTGCTAGTGGGAACAACTAGGTTTTTATTTAATTTACTTCGTGTGTCATACAAATGATTTACAAAGTTTTTCAAATAGTTTGTTTTATACACAAATACTGACGCTTCCAAAACATACAAAGAACGAACATTCATCACCTCGCGTGAGTACAATAAATTGGTGGAAAACATTTTATTTTTTCTAAACATTACTTTTAAAATGTAGTTTTGGGAAACATTTAATTGTTGCAAGGCATTCTTGTATAGGCCACCCCATATGGGTATCCCGTACCGAAGCACTGATTCAACTAAAGTCTTGTATACAGTTATCAACATTTTTTTTGTCAGTATAGACCTCAATACATAAAACTTATAGATCATTTTCCTAATCTTATTTGAAAGGCTCAGCACATGCTGGTCCCATTTCAAATACTTATCAACAATCATTCCCAAATACTTAGTCTGAGCTACTTCACAAATACACTCCTCCAAATTATCGACCTTAATACAATTAAACTCCGGCCTATTAACAGCAGTAATCGAGAAAGCTACATAATTGGTTTTTCGAACGTTTAGAGAGAGCTTACATGTGTCAAGCCAATTTTTAATTTTTGATATTCCGATGTTTACATAATGTTTAACTTCAGGCCAAGAGTTACCGAAAAATATCACCGATGTGTCGTCGGCATATGAGATAATAGTACCGTTTTCAATATTCATGTCCGTTAAAGAGTTAATATAAGTTAAAAACAAAATTGGACCAAGAACCGTACCTTGCGGGACCCCCATTCTTATTTTTTGTGGTTCACTTAGTGTTTCCCCAATTTTTAAAATCTGAGTTCTATCTCTAAGGTAGTCTTCAAAGATGTTCAACACTGTACCCCTAACGCCATAGGCATTTAGTACCTCTAGAAGATCGGCGTGGGGTACAGTGTCGAATGCCTTCGCTAGGTCAAGGAAAACAGCCAGGCATTTATTGCCGTAATCAAGGTGTTCTGTTATGTATTTAGTAAGTTTAAAAATAGCGTCTGTGGTGCTCAAGCCATTTGTGAATCCAAATTGATTCTTTGACAGTATATTGTTTTTTTTTAGAAAGTCTACTAACCTATTTTTCAAACATTTTTCAAACAGTTTTGAAAAGTTACTTATAACACTAATAGGTCTGAAGTTATTAATATCAGTCTTGTCGCCCCCCTTGTGTATCGGAGTAACCACTGAGATTTATTTTAAATTGATTAGGCACCTTACCCGTTCTAAAAATCAAATTTATTATGTGAACTATCGGCTTAAGCAAATGAACATGTGATAGTTTTATTAATTTAGCAAAGACACCATCAATTCCAGGTGCGCTATTATTTTTCGAGGAGTTTATCTGTTCAATTATCTCGAATTCATTCACTGGTCGCAGGAACATGGAGGAGCAAGACTCAAAATTCAGCCTGTAGGAATCTGAGGGCGTTTTAATTTTTTCATACATTCTTTCACCCACATTCACAAAAAAATTGTTGCAGTAGTTTGCCATGGCTTTGTTATCAGAAAACTGAACATCATTGATTTTTATTTGAAGATCATTTTTTTTATTTTTTATTTCATTTGAAGCCTCAGAGATCAATGTGTACATTTTTCTGATATCCCCACTGCAATTTCCAATTTCCCTTCTATAATAGTCATTTTTACATTTATTAATAATCCCCTGCAACTTATTTCGATATGCTTTAAATACAATCTGATCATGAGTATTATTATTATTATGAGCTGCCTGAAGCCGTTTTTTCATTTTATCACGTTTTTTTATAGCTTTAATTATCCCGTTACTTATCCATGGTTTTAGTTTTTTATAATGTCTATATCT